GTATGGCTTGCAGCCCTGCGTTTCAGCCCGGGGCAGCACACTACAATCGTACTTGTAGTGTGTTCGTTGCATACTCACAACGGGCTGGCGTGTGCTCAGCGCATATAAACTCACTGCGGGCTAGCGACCAGCCCGGCCGTGCACATGTAAACACTTTCGGCGGGCTGGCCCGCTAGCTCCAGCCCGGGCTGGAGTTGCACATATAATAGACCCCTTTAATAGGCCGCAGAATATACTCTTAACAGGTGCGTACAACTCCCTGTACGCATTATAGTACGGTGCAGATAATGAACTCGTACTCTGCATAAAATGCACGGTGTACTACGAAAAGATACGCATTTCAGAAGTGTGTACGGTTTTTGCCTCCCGTACTCTTTCATCTGTACGATTTTCCTTTGCCAACAGCTTGCGGAACCCTATACAACCGAAGTCATTACAGTGGTCCTCTATAATCCGGCAGCATTTGTGCCACGGAAAATCTGCTGGATTAGGGAGGGTGCTGGAATAACAAATCGGATTAACAGCTGCAATGTGCATGAAGAGGACATTTTGGCTACTGAAAATTGTGCTGGTTTATGGAGGGTGCTGGTTCAATCAGTTATAAAGTGCTGGATTAGAGAGGGACGACTGTACTAGTATCGAAAAGGGGCTCTCGAAGTCCCTAAATAGCTCCACAACTGAGCTATGAATTAGAATGAAGCTCGCAATAAGAGCCCAGCATTTCATTTTCTTCTATTCTCCTTTTAGTAGTCCTCATTGGTGCTGAGTTACCACACCTATTCTCTCTGCACACACCACACAACTACACATTACAGTCTGTATAAGGGTACACAAGCAGGTAAGCATAATGCAAGTGAGATAATGCATGAAACCTCGTTCTAAAAATTAATAGTTAGTGCATGGCAGGGAGGGCCTTATGGCTTGTTTGTGCCCTTCAGGTTTGCCCTCGGGCCTACGTCCCTCAGGCTAACCTGTCGGGCACTAACAAGCCATAAGGCCCTCCCTACGATGCATTAACCCATAAAATTTATAATAATAACAATAACGTATTTCCCTAAACCAGTGAATAAAAAATGCTCTTCCAAATTTTGGAGATTGTGGCAGAGGATAAACGAACGTACCCTTAGCCAACGGTGCTTCGATTGGGGGGGGGGGGGGGGGGGGGTTCAACCGCGGCATGAGACATGGTTAGCATTTTAACGTTCACGCTAACTTCGACCGTCGCCCTGTACTGTTTTTTTTGCATCATTTTCAAGTCATGGTTAGCATTTCGGTTTCTGACACAACTATTGGCGTGTGATGTCACCCGGCCTCAGTAGTTGGAATCGTATACCGTTTCGTTGTGCCGGTAAACAGAGCCTTCTATCGTTGAAACGCTACCAAACCAACGGTATTTTGGGTGCTGGGTATGAGTACCGTTGGACTTTAGTTTAGCATGAACGGTAACATGCTAACCATGTCTAACTACATGTATGTAGTAGTAGTTGTAGTAGTAGTAGTAGTAGTAGTTGTAGTACCGTAAAATACCGCCAGAGCGCCCCGTCTCTCCCATCCGCCCCTCCCTGACTTCTTGTCAGGGACGTGATTGATTGTATCCTCGTATGACTCTGTCGCAGTCTGTGATGCCGTACTGCACTGCAGACGCGTGCTCAACCCCGTTGGAAATGTACGCAACAGTGCCCACCCTCTTGTCCAGGGATCGCACAAACCCTGCGTTTTGTCGGGTCTGTACGACTCCTGGCTCTTGACCTTTGGTCGGTGTACGAGATGCACGAACAGTTTTCGTAGGGTGAGTACTTTTTCATGTAGCACTGAATGCGGCAAGTAGGACTCGCCCATCCGCCCCTCCCCACTCGAAGCGTCGAGGAGGTGGAGACGCTCTGGCGGGATTTTACGGTAGTAGTAGTAGTAGTAGTACCGTAAAATACCGTTGATCCCCCCCCCCCCCCACGCGGTGTCGCTTCCCAGCTGGTTTTCGGTAGGGGGCGGGAATTAGATCAAGGCTGTGAAGTACAGTACGGTGTAAAACAACGTCGAGGATTAGACTCGGTGTGCTGGAGTGTGCACATTTTCATCATGGATTGGCACATATCGTGTACAGCAGTGCAAGCGTCGGTTCAACATCGTATTCCGTTGTATACGTCGAAATCGCTTCACAGGTAGAAAATTGACAGGCGGGCGGGAATTAGAGAGGGGGCGGGAATTAGAGAGGGGGCGGGAATTAGAGAGGGGGCGGGAATTAGAGAGGGGGCGGCGGGATCAATGGTACTTTACGGTAGTAGTAGAATTCACTATTTTGATAGCCGGCCGGAAGGCCCTGCAGACGTCTATTCTTGCCATTGACCCCGGCACTGTCGATGATCATGATGATGCCATGCCAATCTACACGTTTTCATCATTGGATTCTTTTTTCTTCTTTTTGTTATATTTGCAATTCGTGCGATATAAACTAATCATCAATTATACGACTCCCTGATCAAAACTGATGAGCAAGGAGCACTTCCTGGTTCTGAGCTATGGGCAGTATGGGGAATGCCCGGTTCCATGCGCCAAGTCGTCCAGCGTCGACTACTGTAAAAGCAGAAATTTTCGGTGGTGCAATATTGTCGGTATTCTCCAAAATCGGTGGTTCGGTGGAGGGAAATTTTCGCTAAACCTGTTGTCCAAGTATGTACATGTACTAGTACTGAAATTTTCGGTGCGTTATATATATATACTTTTTGTAGTTTGAGCGCTCTGGCGCTAGAGCGACGAGCCATCTTAATGTCTGTGGTGCCTTCTTTGCACCATGGCTGGTAGCTCGGCCTATTTAGCTCGTAGCTGTACTGATGAGGCATTTATGGCCGAAACAGCTTGCTGTCTACAGCATTGGGTATATATATATATATACCGTAAAATCCCGCCAGAGCGCTCCGTCTCTCCCATCCGCCCCTCCCTGACTTCTTGTCAGGGACGTGATTGATTGTATCCTCGTATGACTCTGTCGCAGTCTGTGATGCCGTACTGTACTGCAGACGCGTGCTCAACCCCGTTGGAAATGTACGCAACAGTGCCCACCCTCTTGACCAGGGATCGCACAAACCCTGCGTTTTGTCGGGTCTGTACGACTCCTGGCTCTTGACCTTTGGTCGGTGTACGAGATGCACGAACAGTTTTTGTAGGGTGAGTTCTTTTTCATGTAGCACTGAATGCGGCAAGTAGGACTCGCCCATCCGCCCCTCCCCACCTGAAGCGTCGAGGAGGTAGGGGCGCTCTGGCGGGATTTTACGGTATATGCAAATTGAGTGTATATATCTTGTAGCAGTTGAGCACCCTTGCATAGCATTGGGTATATATATATATATATAGCAGTTGAGCACTATTGCGTGGGGTAGTGCCTTTGCTGTTTGCTTTATGCAGAGCTCACTGACTTGTCAGTTTGAGCACTCTGGCAAGGTACGTTCGGGCCTGATTGGAAATTTTTATTTCCATTGCTATCAGGTTCGGCCTCATTTCCTCTGTGCTGCCGGCTGACGAGTCCACAAAGGACGAAACAGTTCTGTCCGCAGATTGAGTATATCTGTGGTGCCTCCTTTGCACCACGGCTGGTAGCTCGGCCTATTTAGCTCGTAGCTGTACTGATGAGGCCTTTATGGCCGAAACAGCTTGCTGTCTACATCATTGGGTAGATATATATAATTATATATCTCATTTCCTCTGTGCTGCGCTGATGAGTTCAAAAAGAACGAAACAGCATGCTGTCCGCAGATTGAGTATTTCGCTCCTGCTCTTGTAGCAGTTGAGCACTCTTGCGTGGGGTAGTGCCTTTGCTGTTTGCGTTATGCAGAGCTCACTGACTTGTCAGTTTGAGCACTCTAGCAAGGTACGTTCGGGCCTGATTGGAAATTTTTATTTTCATTGCTATCAGGTTCGGCCTCATTTCCTCTGTGCTGCACTGATGAGTTCAAAAAGAACGAAACAGCATGCTGTCCGCAGATTGAGTATAATTATATATATATTTTTTTTTTCCGTAAAATTGTCGGTACGGAAGTAATAATACTATACTAGTAAAGCGGGATTCACAGAAGCTTTTTTGCGATGCGACACGCGATGCGACAGGCGCGAAACCGGGAAAACCCCAAATCGCAGCCATGTCGCACTCCACGCAACTGCCGCAACTGGGCCATCGCAGGCCATCGCAGAAGTTGAGCTTGGCTCAACTTTTGCGATGCGACAAGCGATTTGGCGTACGATTTTGACCTTTTCTACAGCAAAGTTGTACAAAGGTTCAAGAGTTGCCTATAAATTTGTACAAGTTGTATCAAACCGCGCGAATATCATGGTGACGTAGCCAAATCAGCAAGATCACTGACTTCTTCTGTGAATGGTATTTCGCGAGTTCGCATCGCACGCGTCCGTCGCAGATCGCGTCGCATCGCGTGTCGCATCGCAAAAAAGCTTCTGTGAATCCCGCTTAACTGTTAGTTCTCGAAAATAAAACACCACCGACAATTATTTCTGCTTTTACAGAACTACATGCACATGTACATGCATGATCATTGCATGCTTGCTTGGTTGTGTACAAATTTTGTAACAAAATGACTGTAGTACAAAGTCATGTACAATGTAAATCTACGACTCGTACTCGTACTCACTCAGTTCAGTGACGAGTCGTACCGATCGTGCACTCGACTGCATGCTGCGACACCACATGTAGGCACGCTGTACGGGTGCTTGCTGATCTGCCGTGACTTGAGCCTTGACTGCTTGAGGTCCAGCTCCTTCGGATCGATCGCCGGGTCGGATCCGAAAGGCCACAACTGTCGTAGTACTACACCTGTACTACATTTTAGTACGTACCACGAGCACACGTTGCACGTTGAGCTGACTGCTTTACTTCACTGCTGCCACGTGCTATCAACTTTGGAAAAATCAACGAGAGCGTCTTATCTGTAGCTCAACTGACTGAACCTGACTGGGCCGTGAGGGCCCACAGCCAGTTTTCTCAATGCTACATTTGTAGAGGTTTTCCTTCCACTGACTGTTCCAGGCTTTGTTTGGTGATTCTCGGCTTTGACAACATATCACAACTAAACAGGATCTAGAAGGGATACTCTGCTTCCGACGAGACCAGTGGAGACTGCCGGTGGAAAAAGTCACATTTCGCTGCAAAATTATCTATGTAGTGCTGAATTAGAAACGCGTGTCGTCCGGATACTCTCGCATGTCGCCTGCATGCGTGGTGACATTCATCAACTGCTTTGAGTCTTGGATTTTCCACGTCTGACAGCGGCTCGATTTAGCAATCAATGTTCGTCTCTTGGAGGAAGTGAGCTGCTTGAAATGGATTTACTCAGCCAAATTGACATTCCCTTGTACGAAGGAAGATTGAATTTGATCCCGTCCAAATCTTCTCAGCTTAGGTGATTTCCTCTTTTCAGTTCGACCTGTAGTGCAGCTTATCCTCCTCTGACAATGGAGCATCAACAGCTGTTGGCACCTCGCACCTCTTTTCAGAGTAGCATTGCCTCTGCAGAGAGTACCCATTCTCCCAAATCTCTGTTGAGGAGAGATGTGAGTGCACCCGCCAGCCCTTTGTCCTGCCTGGTGCGTAGCAGGGCAACGATCACTCCAGCAAATTCGACTGAAGTACACATGGACTATCGAGATGAGAGCTTCATTTCAAGTAAGTTTGAGTTTCTGTGTTCTTTGAATGTTTTTTTTTGTGTTTGCGTGTTTGTGTGTGTGTACGTGTATCGGTGGTAAACGATTTGCCTTTCTTTCACTTGTCTGCAGTGCAGAATAATTTCTTTTACTTGTCTGTGTGCTCCAATTATTGTTTGTGCAGCTCAGAACCAGGTCGCTTCTATGAAAGCTGATGTCTCCCGCAATTCCAAAGTCAATTTTGACCTTGAAAGAATTGTGCGACAATTTGATACTCAAATTGGTCTACTCATCAGCTTACGCATCGCGTACGATGTAAGTTTTGATGATGCAAGGAACGCGTCCGTTTGAATTCTCTGGTTTTGTTTCCGTGTTGCTGGAGCTCCTTCGGTCACCGCATGTTTGCAGCCGTTGTTTTGATAAGCTCGCTTGATTTGCTGCTCATTGTGTCGTTTTGTGTGCACTCTGTTCTCCAATGCTGTAGAAAGAGCAGGTTGACAGGCGCGACTTTGGGAAATTGGCTGTCTTGGGTAAGCAGTATCCACGTGCGCATTCATAGTCAACACGTTTCACTCTGTTAGTTTGTACGGTGTGTTCCGTGTTCTTGAGCAATTTCCACTGTTCTGTTACTTTTTGTGAGGAGCGTTGCTGATGTTTAGGTAACTGTGAAGCCCGTGGAAGGCTTGGTAGACGGTCGTTTTCCCATATCGGTAATTATCATGTTGCCGCTTATGGCCGGTCTCTTCTGTTTGGCTTGAAGATTCCGATTATGCCTGTTGAGATTCTGACCCCAAGGTCAAAAGTGGAGCGTTCATCACATCCTGCTGACTGCATCCACTTGTTCCTGTTTCGGAGTTTTTTTCTTCAGTTTTGCTTTACATTTTTCTTCTCCTTTTTCTTCATGCAGGACGTGGACAACAAGATAAAGCTGCATCATGGCCCACCGACGCACAGCTTCGCGTAAGTCATTGTGCCAATTTGTGGGTCATCTGTGGTTATTATTCGCACGCACTTCACTGTCACTATTCACAGATAGAACGTCAAGAGCAGATTTGTGACGGTCTCAGCTACACGACGCTGTCTTGTTCACCAGCGCTGACCGTGCATTGCTGCGCCCCCAGTTCAGTCGCTCTGCGTGGCGGATTCCCGAGGAGCATTGAAGTGTAGACGGACACTTCGCTGTCTGTGCCGCGTGTGATGATTGCGTGGTGCTGCAGCCCCTACAGTTTCTGCTCGGTTACATGTTTTCACTGCGGGGTGGCGAATCCTGTGGCTATGCCCTACAGCGACGCCTAGTACATGTGGTCTACGTAAAATTAATCTAGAGGCTGCAATGGAATCATCCCTTGCCTTGGACGTCTCTTTAGACGTTTCTTTACACGCACTAGTCTGGCATGACATGCCGACAGGGGCACTCAGTACCTTGGACTCAGTGCTTACTGACCTTAGCCTGCTACAATGTTTTTTTTGTGGTTGTAACAATTCCCGGGTGATATATCCTGGACCTAAGTACATGATTGTACTTGTCTATTGATGCATGCAATATTAGAGTCAGACTCAGTCAGGTAATACTCCACAATGAACTATAGTGTAGGTCAACAATACAATGTACACTGGTCTGTCAATGGCAATGAAGCTAATAAAATTGTTTCCTGGTACATCGATAGGTTCCTGTGATTGAGTTTTGGTTATTCACATGTCAGTGTACAGTCGACAGCAGTCTATGTCGTGTGGTGTCACAGTCAGTTCACTTTGTTTTGTTACTGACTACTTCCAACCACTCACCTGTACTGTTGTACTGTTGCACCAGCTGCACTTGCAATGAAATCTGTGCCAGCAAGCACAGACACCATACCCATGGTGGTTGTCAGTCCATATCAGCATCCAGTGGCAACCTCACTTAGAATTCTACTACCCACTCCCCTCAGCTTATTTAGTGGTCTGCTTCCTATTACGGACTCCACCAGCATAGTGCGCAAGGCCATAAGGCGGCGTAAAACAAGAGTGAAATCAATGCTCTATCTGGCTACTTGACTGAGGATTACCAAAACAAGAGCTTTTTTTAAAGTTATTATCTTGATCTTCGTTGATACTGTTATCATGCCAGCTCTCTTCACTCTCAGTCTCATGACACCATGCACACATTTGCATTCAACTCTCACCGGTCCCCAGCATAGAGTATAGTTTCCGCATTCCGGATCCAGTCGGCATACTACACGCTATGGTATACTCCAGACTGGACACCATGTTCTGCAGTCGCAGGCCTACAGACCACGTTTGACATTTACATGGGTGGCGTGCCGTCATACGCTGACCTGTGTGCACTTACGGAAATTTAAAAAAAAAATTGTGCTCCATCACCGCCTGTGCCTTTGCGAACGGAATTTGTTGATAATGGACGGGTGTGGCCACGGGCCGTATGTTTGATGTGTGTAGTGTTATGACATCGTCACTACCTGATGTGTGTAGTGTTATGACATCGTCACTACCTGATGTGTGTAGTGTTATGACATCGTCACTACCTGATGTGTGTAGTGTTATGACATCGTCACTACCTGATGTACATGTACATGACTGTACAGTAAACCTGTCAAGGCGACCACTCGGATAAGGCGACCGCCTGTCCCAGAAGACCACTGCAGCCAGTACCAAGGGACGCTATTTCCAGTCAAATGGCACTGGATAAGGAGACCACCTGGTAACAGAGACCACACTTTGAAAGTCCCATGAGCGGTCGTCTTAGACAGGTTTCACGGTTTTGTATGTTTGATGTCGTATGTGGTGTTATCAAGAGTACGTAACCCCAAGAGTATTCAACTCTGCATATGGGGTATGGCGCGGCGCGCTGCTCGCAGTACGTACCCACGGATTGTGGGCCATTGCGTCATCATTCCCGTAGTCATGGTTTCCTGTTTCCAAATCCGCTTTCCTCAGAGACTTCGAATGGTTTTGTATGTGGTGCGTCACGCATAGGCATCACCTTTGAACTTGCCTTATTGCACGTGAAACCGTGGAAGCTAAACCGTAGGAAAACTCAAATCCAGGCAGCTGGATCGTCATTTTCACTACGTAATGAAGGTGGCGTGCCGTGCAAGACACCCATACTACATAGCTCAAAGATCAGAGCTGCACACTTTTGGGAATATGCACTCTTATTGTTATGTCACTGTCACTACCTGATGTATTGTATGTTCGATGTTTGTATTGTAAATGATATCATTACAACCTGTAATGGTGTGTGTGTGTTGTTTGTAGTGTAAGCTAAGGCCACCCTTTGTTAATTCATTGTTTAACGTCCTTTTTTTCGCGGAAAGGTACGCGGGAGGGCGGAAAAAAAACAAAAGCCCATTCCAAAAACTGGAAACCCCAATCAAACATTTTGACCAGTAAAGCATGTGATATATACAATATTTCTGGGTCTAACGGCACTTGCAGGCATAGAACAACACTCTTTGATGGCACATTGGAGCACATGCCTGATGAATCCAACAAAACAGGTACATAGCATGGAGTTAGCATGTCATGAATTCATTACAATCATCTGGATTTTTACTAGGACACACACCGTACGATATTTAAAAGCCAACAAAAAAAGAAAAAGAACACAAGACAAAGGCATGCCCGGGAGGCAAGATTATACTGTAAGTTTAAGGTCATGATCGGCACACTGTGAAACTACACAATCATGTATTTACAACTTCGCATTATTATTGGTACTACTACTTTCTTGTTTTTTTTTCCGGTCGGAGGCAAAAAGGTACGCGGGCGCGGACGTTAAACAACGAAAAAAGAAAGGGTGGCCTAATAATGACATCATCTTTACCTGATGTCTTGTGTGTTGTTTGTAGTGTAAACTAATAATGACATCATCGTTGCCTGATGTATTGTATGTTTGTGCAGCACTACGGTACACTGTTCTTCTTGCTTCAAACTCGACCGCACTACATAGCAAAACTTGCCCGGCAAGTTGGCTCAGCGTGTATCGACGGTAAGTTTGACAATCGCAATGTGCCAGCAGCTCCTCATATATCATTGCTGATAGTGGTGCTGTTGCTGGTGTCACTGCAATTGCTGCTGCTGCTGATCCTGCCATTGCTACTGCCACTGCTGTTGCAGGCGCTGTTGCTTCTGCTGCCTCCGCTATTGCTGATGTAGCTACTATTGCTGATGTAGCCGCTATTGCTGATGTAGCCGCTATTGCTGATGTAGCCGCTATTGCTGATGTAGCCGCTATTGCTGATGTAGCCGCTATTGCTGATGTAGCCGCTATTGCTGATGTAGCCGCCATTGCTGATGTAGCCGCCATTGCTGATGTAGCCGCTATTGCTGATGTAGCCGCTATTGCTGATTCTGCTGCTGTTGCTACTGCTATTGCTGATGCTGCTGCTATTGCTGATCCTATTGCTGTGTGTGTGTGTGTGTGCGCGCGTGTGTGCGTGTGTGCGTGTACAGACTTACTCAAGGTCATCATGTTCACTCTCTATGGTCACCATTACGATCCGAGAGAAGAGCACTTGCTGCTGTGCATGTTTGAGGTAGGTGGGCCCTTCTAGGTGTGGCAGCCCCGAGAGACTTGTTGCTATAACCTGGTTATCGTGATTTGTTGCTACAAACTAGTTCCTGACTGACTGTGACCCACACGACATCCCTCTTGTCTTATCTTGTTAAGTTCATTCATTCTGATGTTGTGTGTGTTGTTTGTAGTGTAAATGGTATCATTTCCACCTGATGTTGTGCATTCTGATCTTGTATGCTGTATGTGAGCAGTTCACCTGTGTCTGCTGGGTATTGCACCCATTTGCTATGCATCACCTCCAGACATTTGTAACTTGTCGCGGCTCCTGTATGATAGCATTTGTAACTTGTCGGGGGCGGTGATACAAAGTATTGAAGCACAGACGTAATATACTTGTCTGTTTCGCCTCTAATCGATTGTTACAATGCGTTGTTGCTTGACTGCTACCGTGCTCTGTTGCTGCCACTGGTGCTGCTGCTGCTTATAGCTGGCCCTGACGCAGGAGTTTGAGCAGGCAGCGGATGTGACGTGCGTGCTACGCCAGAACACTGCCATTACGCGCATGATGACATCATACACACGGTAGGTCATGTGCCGGCTCGTGTACTAATATGGACACCGACCCTAGGGTACGGGTTAGAGGTTGGACAGTTGTGTAAGATCGGGGATATGTGTCGTGTTTGATTGGCCTCGATTTGTTTTGCTAGTCGACAGTTGTGTTAGCCATGGTGGCACATCAGCACAATCATCACTCCCTCCCACTGTGAACTGTGGATACCAAGATAGCATGACTTGGCTACTGTATCTAGTGTAAGGACTGCACTCTGAAATTGTGAATCTCAGCAGCCAGTGCTCCGGTCTTATCCCCATTCTGTGCGGTGTGTTTTCATAGTAATGCCAGGCTAGCAAGGGTTTCGTGTAAGATTGGATTGCTTCAAAGTATGAAGTAGCAGTTTGTTGCATATCAGGATAAATTTCTGTGTATTCTTTGACAAAAACAATTTTTTCTTTTTTTCCCTATCTCCTTCATTTTACACGCACATGGCAGTTGTGTGTGACATTATTTCGTTTAGCCTCGTGTCTACACTGTGTTCTCATGTACATACAGTGGCTGTATCAACAGTACTATCGAACATTGTTACACTGCTCATCCTCCTTGTGTGTCTGTTGTTTGTTTTGTTTTGTTCTTCAGTCGTGGTCCTGGACAGGAGTATCTTCACCAAGTACTCACGGCTCCCATTGTGTTCCTGGCTACTGCTGGGGACAACCTTGAAGTCGATCCAGTCCTGGTATGTGTGAGAATCAGGCCTTTCCCTGGTGCTGCTGGTGGGTTTTTGTGATCCGAGTTGGCGTGCAGTACTGTGCCGAAGAGCTGGGGGTTCAGCCTCCTAGCCTACATGTAGGCCGTTCTTATTTTCCTGTACTACAGCCTATGCACAGTTGAGTCACCGTGTATACATTGGTATGCTGTGCTTGGTAAAATTTCCAGCCAGTTAGTTCTTTGGCCCTCCGTTCTTCGGCACCCGGCAGTGCTGTAGTGTTTTATAGTGGGGTACAGTCAGACCTCGCATACTAGTAACCGGACACATCCGTTTCCACAAAAATATCCGGATAGGCGAGGGAACCGGATAATCAAACACACATACTGTGTGTGTGCATGACATATGCTGTAAATTGGTAACCAGCGATTTTCTTCCGGATGGCGAGGAATCCGGATGAACGAGTAGCCATAAGTTAATGTCTGTTCTGCTATAGGGCTATGTTGTTCTTGCAGCAACTACACTCATGTACTCACCGTGCTCTCCACTCTTCGATACTTCAAGTACATGTGCTGGATTGGCACTAGCACTCGCGTGTGTGTGTGTGTGTGTGTGTGTGTGTGTGTTTGTGTACGTGTGTACCTGCGGGTGTGGGTGTATGTGTGCGTGTGTACCTGCGGGTGTGGGTGTATGTGTGTGTGTGTTTGTGTACGTGTGTACCTGCGGGTGTGGGTGTATGTGTGCGTGACTGCGTGTGCACGTCCCATGCATGTCTATTTGAATTTCTCCCTTATTGCCGTGTCTTGTCAGGTGTATACAGAGCTGGTCAACAAGGGAATGAAGGACTCCAACACCCCGTCTGGTTTTGTGGTACGTCACAGCATGCATGTACATGTATGCTGTTGGCAAATGTGCACGTCCATGCCTTACGTGAACTTTACTGTCCGATTAAAATGTATACAAGCCCACGCAGCCACAAAATCTGAAACTAGAATTAGACGTAACTTTGTTTTGACTTTGACAATTTCCACGATCTTGGGCATCCTGGAAAGGTCTTGATGAGACGAACGCAATGAGCCCACACTCGGCGCCACAGGATGCACTGGTCCAGCGCTGCAAGCCAGGGAACGCGCACCAGCGCTGAGCTCATGCTCGAGATCGATCTCAATCCACCATGTCACCCCTGTTGCTCGTATCGAGCTCAAATATTTTCGTAGAGACTCCCGGGAACCTACTTTTGAATTTGAATCGGTGTAGCCTTGCCAACAGGTGACGTAAACAGAGAAAATCCCAGCTGTCGACAAGCGCGTCGCGCTCTGAACGCACATTTCCCGGGACCAGAATTACGAGTGCGATAACTCAGCAATCGCTCTTCGTATCGCTTCGGGAATTGTTCGAGGCGACAGCTGAGACTTTTCTCTTCGACCTACATATTTCGATCTCTCCAAAAGACCTAGATTTGAGCAAGTTACGATAATTTCAAAATGCCTACCCCATCGATCCCATTGGATCGATGCTTGTATGTACGGACAGTAAAGGGTTAATAGAGAGGTTCCGCATAACGGAATTACGTTAGTAAAAAAACGTAGTCGATCTACGGAAAGTCTTACGTAAACTGCATGCGCATCTGTGTTCCGCGATACGGAGTTTTCAAATCACGTAGCTGCCCTTGGCAACTCCGAACGTGGCAGTGTACGACGCGGCAGTGTACGACGCGGCAGTGTACGACCGGATCGACTTGGGGAAAGTCACAAATTTGTACCCCAATCCACTTACGGACCAGCTACGCTATCAGAGCCCTATCTACGTACTCAACGTAGACAACTTTCCGTAAGTGGAGTGCAAACTCGCGAATTCACGGGTTTTTCCCGCCCACTAACGTAAAGTCAACTTTACGTAGTGCGGAACCTCTCTAATGTGGCAGAATTGAGGCATTAGCATATGAGGCCGCCGTGTGTTCTGTCTTTTGAACACCATCTTTCTTCGTAAATTCTGGTATGTGACCCTACTATCGCTATTGATCAAGTCTCTGTACTTGGTGTCCACTCTTTCGTGTGTTTAGGCTGCTGAGGATCCTGATGTCAAACATCTTGTCAAAGATCGTATCCTCTCCTGCCCTATTCCAACATGTCGTATAGTCATGGCTGCTGCCTGCTGCTGCTGCTGCTGCTGCTGCTGCTGCTGCTGCTGTTGTTGTTGTTTGTTTCAAATCATTATTCTCACGATGGCCTGTGGCCAATGAGAGTTGTTGCTGTTGCTGTTCAGATTCTCGTCCTTGATCTTCAGGTCTGTACATGGAATGATTGCTCGAGATCTCAAAAAGCACACAGCCAGTCTTATCCTCCTGCAAAGACACGTGTGTTTCATTTGCTTCTTGGAGTAGCCTCTAACAGTGCTTCGACAAGCCAGAGCTGTTATTCAGAGCCTGTGAGTCGGGCGGTCTGAAGAGGCCATTGCCACCATATGGCGCATGGTCTCTTGAGTACTACTACTACTACTACTACTACTACTACTACTACCACTAGCATTGCATAACTAGCTTGTACATGTACCCTGCAGTTGGGCAAACAGCCATGAGTACTTGAAATAGCCACGTGTATTTAGCCAGTCACGTATCCTTGACCAGCTCGTCTCTCCCAGGCACACAACGCCTTCAGGAAGTCCTGGAGTCATTACTAGGCTGTATCTTCCGTTCAGCTAGTAGTGTTCCCTTTGGTATTCGCTGGTTGTGTCGCACAATTCGCACGTTGGTTCATCAGTACTTTCCCGACACGTCGAGCCAAAACGAAGCGCAGCAAGATCGAGCAGCATCGCTCGTCGGTGGTTTCTTCTTTCTGCGCTACATCAACCCTACCATCGTCAGTCCTGCAAGTGAGTTTGTGGTGTCGCCGTGTGTTTGTGTGTGTGTGCGCGTGTGTGCGTGTGTGTGTGTGTGTGTGTGTGTGTGTGTGTGCGCGTGTGTGTGTGTCCAAAAAGTAGGGATTCACTGGCCAGAAAAAGCCACTTCATAGCTGTGTGCTGTAGACCAGGCTGAATAGTGGTGGCCAATTCTTCAGCCTTGCAAGCTGTTGAATGGTGCAATCCCAGCACAAGCTGCTATGGCTTCTGCTCTAGCATCGCTATCACCGCCTCCGGCGATGGGCGTCCAGTTTTTTTATTTTTATTTTTTATTGTTTGCCTCACAGGCAAAGACCAAAAATTGCATAGTGGGAGCAGAGTGATGGTGAGGCTTTTTGCCCTCAGCCGACCGGAGGTCTCGACGTCATGGGGGACATAAACGCACCAAAAAAAAGAAGAAAAAATGTCCATTGGTGTGTGCACGTGTGTGCACGTGTGTGTGTGTGTGTGTGTGTGTGTGTGTGTGTGTGCGCGCGCGCGTGCGCAGCGCAACCATTTATCTGGTGAATATCTTGGACGACACAATGCAGAGTACCCTGTGCATAAATCTTGATGGAAGAGGTTCATCGCTTGTAGTTCACCGCCAGGTCACCATAGCACACAGCAACAACCAGCTTATCATATCTAACTGTAGCGTGTTGTTCCATTGGCTGATTGTGTTCTGTACAGAAATCAACATCAAGAATGTCTCTACCAAGGCTGCACATAGAACATTAACACTGGTACGTACAGTATGCACAGAGTCTGCACTACTGGGGATTTGTGCAGCTTAGATACTGCACATAGTCTGCACTACTGGGGATTTGTGCAGCTTAGATGCTGCACATAGTCTGCACTACTGGGGATTTGTGCAGCTTAGATGCTGCACATAGTCTGCACTACTGGGGATTTGTGCAGCTTAGATACTGCACATAGTCTGCACTACTGGGGATTTGTGCAGCTTAGATGCTGCACATAGTCTGCACTACTGGGGATTTGTGCAGCTTAGATGCTGCACATAGTCTGCACTACTGGGGATTTGTGCAGCTTAGATACTGCACAGAGTCTGCACTACTGGGGATTTGTGCAGCTTAGATGCTGCACATAGTCTGCACTACTGGGGATTTGCACAGCTTAGATGCTGCAAATACTCTGTAGTAGTGGGGATTTGTACTGCTTAGAAGTTAGATGCTGCACATAGTCTGTAGTAGAGGGGATTTGTGCAGCTTAGATGCTGCACAGAGTCTGCACTACTGGGGATTTGTGCGGCTTAGGTGCTGCACATAGTCTGTACTACTGGGGATTTGCGCAGCTTAGATGCTGCACATACTGAAGTAGTCTGTAGCCGCGGGGAGTTGTACTGCTTAGATGCTGCGCAGAGTCTGCACTGCTGGGGAATTGCACTGCTTAGATGCTGCGCATAGTCTGTAGTAGAGGGGATTTGCACAGCTTAGATGCTGCACATCGTCTGTAGTAGCGGGGAGGTGTGCAGCTTAGATGCTGCACATGATCTGTAGTACCGGGGAGTTTTGCAACTTCGAAACTGCACATAATCTGTAGTAGCGGGGATTTGCGCAGCTTAGATGCTGCACATAGTCTGTCATACCAAGGATTTACGCAGCTCAGGCGCTGTACATAGTCTGTAATACGGGGTTCTGTGACCAGTACCAATATGAATAACAGCATGCGCAACGGCTCTGCCCTGGCCTTCCCATCATCTTCGTGTCTTCGTGTTCTCTTCTCACAGATGGCGAAGATTATTCAGAAGATAGCAAACCAGGTGGATCCCAACTCGTTGCGTGAACCGTACATGGTGCCCTTTACGGACTTCATATCCAGTTACCAAATGAAGTTGAAGGTAAGCGTGCTGTTGGCTGCTGGTATCAGAGGTCTAGCCAGGATTTTATGCCAGCCGGCCAACGTTCTAGTTACTGCCATCAGTCTCGTATCCACACAGACACACACACACACACACACACACACACACACACACACACACCACTACAAATCTTGCATTGCAGCTTGCATCTCCTTTCGCTTCGTCCAATTATGGGCATTCATCAGGCAGTTGTGACAATGTGATTATAGGTAAATTAACAAAATATGAAAAAGGAAGCAAACAGCTACATGAGCATGGATCATGTGTTCACCAACGTCATGTCTGCATGCAGTGTACATTGGTCATCTGACAAGACCCAGCCTAGCCACAGCCCTGTACACCACCAGAAGCAGAGAACCATGACCCAACCTGTTACATTTTACTGACGTACTCAAGTGCATACTCAAGTGCATTTGAGCTTGAGTGAAGAGCTAGCACTGAGCCTGAGTAGCCAGTGCTACGTACTGTACTGTACATACATATGCCTAGGATATGGGTTGTACTCCACCATCTCTGACTCAAGTGCTAGTGCAGTGCACTACAGTCTACATGGGGATGCCATGTTTCGGTATGTAACAAACAGGGATTTTCAGTCCTTCCATCATCATCATCATCCTTGATACTGATTTCTCTCATGACATCATCATCCTTGATACAGATTACTTCCATTACATCATCCTTGATACTGATTACTTCCATTACATCATCCTTGATACTGATTACTTCCATTACATCTTCTTTCGTGATACCCATACATGTGGCATGTTCATGTTGGTGTACAAGCATGTAACGTGCCTGAGCCTGATATGTCGTCTGTGCATTATTTGTGCATGATCTTTTGTGTGTGTTCAGGATTTCTTTGATCAGCTGTGTGATGTTGATGACTTCCATGACTTCATGCAAGTAGAGCACTTCCTAGCCTTCACTAAGAACTCAGTGATGTCAGAGGTGGAGCTGAGCGATATCCACAAGCTACACACGCTCATTTCCAAACACTCCGAGAAAGTGCTGGCAGTGAGTGTAAGTCTTCCGTGGGGTTGTACTTTGAAGTGTAGACACGTGCTAAACATGGGTATAGGTGTGGGTCAGTAAGTCGTGCCATCTAGGCAGACGGTACGAATGACTAGAGCGTGAAACGATGCAGATTTCAATCCCGGGGTGACCGTTCCAGTTGCCCTTGGGGCAGGAGAAACGTCATGCTGTGCAACCAACTTTGGCAGTATACAGAGAGCAAACAGTGCCTGTGCCGTGTGTGCTCTCGCATCTCAAATGAATGCAGGCTGGTATTGGATGAAGATGCTAAGTCTGTACTGCAATCTGCCTATCATTGCCTAGCTCCCTCTGGAGCTCTCTGGTGTGGGGGTCAAAGCTTGCGTGGCCGTGCGTTGAAGTGCTCATATGTGCTGAACACGGATGCTATGCGCATGTGTGGGTTTGGGTGGCTGCTGTTTCCTTACCTTAGTTCAGAGAATTGTCCTCCTGCTCCATTGTGCTAACTGCCTCTCTTCTTCTAGAATCGGGTGTTTCATCCAGGCAAGAGCACTATTTTCTGTACCAAGGTCAACTTTCTCTGCCAGTAAATTCAGTCGTTGAATGTTGTATCTGTTGTTTGTCCTTGTTTGTGTCCTTGCTTGTGTGCTGGTGTGCTGGCTTTCAGGGTCATGATCGGCTGGGGTCAGTGCTGGACGAGCTAGGTGAGATACCAATGATGATCAACAACGGGGCGTCGAGAGCCACGCTACACTTGTGCAGCCGTACTACCATGAACGACGACGCTGCAATCATCTTGGATGACAGTTTCACGGACATGTCACTAATGCGAGACTCTACGGACTCTTGCTCATCAGCAGATCAGCAGCTGAAGACGTTCAAGACCCGCTGCATAACACTATTGGCACGGCTGTTCAAAATGGTAAGAGGCAGGCAGATAGACAGACAGATAGACAGACAGACAGACAGACAGACAGACAGACAGACAGACAGACAGACAGACAGACAGACAGACAGACAGAGAGAGAGAGAGAGAGAGAGAGAGAGAGAGAGAGAGAGAGAGAGAGAGAGAGAGAGAGAGAGAGAGAGAGAGAGAGAGGAGAGAGAGAGAGAGGAGAGAGAGAGAGAGAGAGAGAGAGAGTGCGCAAGTTTCAACTGCCCTGCTGATGGGTGTAGCTGTGTGTTCATGTTCTTTGTACGTTCTACCTGCTCTTTTGTCTCGGTACAGTCTTCGATTTAGGGTATATCACTCTATTTCTATCTCTGTTGAACACTCTCTTCTTTCCTCTCTCATTGTGTCTGGTGTCCAGCTCCCAGAATCGTATCGCACTCTTCCCTTAGTGCACGTAGTTAAATCAGCGGAGGATTTTGAAGTGCAACAGATCAAGGACATCTCGTCCATCACTGAACTTCTCCTGAACAACCTCAGGCAGAATGGCATTGACGTTGAGTCTTCTATTGACTACCTCAACATGAAGGAGGTAAGGAAATGGATGAGCTCTGGTAACCTGAGGTCAGGCTTCAGGCACTGACTAGCGATAAATTGACGTTGAACAGGAGATTTGGAGAAGGTAAACCTGTTTTATTTTTATTTTATTGCAGCACACACTGCAACAGGGATTTGGAGAAGATAAACCTGTTCGTATTTTGCCACACACACTGGAACAGGAGATTTGGAGAGGGGAAAACATGTGTTTGTATAATTGCAGCACACCCTGGTATTGTTATTAGTGCTGTTATGCGGGTATAGAGTCTATACTATAGACACACCAGAAGTCTGGCTATAGCCTGGATACTGCACTGCACTAATGCAGTTTTCTACCACGATGGTCATCACATAACCGAACATCTGACCAAAGTTATGATGTAAACTCCTTGTTGTTATGATGTAGGCATGCATATCCCGTTACGCTGAATCTGTAATGACTTTTCTTCCCGTGTGGCTACGCTTGTTCTTACCACATTGGATATGTCTGCCTAGCCCTGGACTGACTTGGGTCCGATGTTCATCGTTACGTGTGAGGTTCTAACATCGTGTGTGTGTGTGTGTGTGTGTGTGTGTGTGTGTGTGTGTGTGCACGTGTGTATCTGTGTGTGTGTGCGTGTGTCTGTGTCTGTATGTCTGTGTCTGTATGTCTGTATGTCTGTGTCTGTATCTGTGTGTCTGTGTTGTCCTGTACTTTACTGTCCCCGTGCTCGTAGAGTTTACCGAGTCAGGAGGAGCTGCACGCTCGCTGTCGTGGTGAACTGATGCACCTTGTGCGCATACAAACTGTAAGTAGCATCATAGTGACAGTCATTGCCCCCCCCGGCTGGATTGTGCTCGGGACCGCATGTTGCTTTTCATTGTGTCTGCAAGACCATGGCGCCTGGGTAGGAACCGATTTTCTGCGGCTAGGCTGTCTGTCGAATTTTCTCTTGTGTGTGTGTGCGTGCGTGTGTGTGTGTGCGCCACGTGCCCACGTTTGTGTATGTATGTTTGTGTGCGTGTACAGCTTGTCAATGAACATTTTTACTTTCTCAGTGAGCAGCTGGAGACTTACAAGGTCTATTTGACAGCAGCCCGACTCAAAGCCGTGACATCAGTAAGTAGGAAGTGCATGCTCTCCGCTTGCTGGGCTGTTTCTACAACTTCAGTCATGCTCAATGATACCATTCTGATCTCATGAGTCCAGACTTTGTGCACCAGGGCATAGCACAGTGGTCCTAGGTCCACTGTTGCGCAGCACCCTGTGCGCGTTGACTCACGAGGTCTGATTACGGATTACGCTGGACGGCAGCACTGTTCTAGTTCGAGAGAACAACTAGTCAAGCTGTGCGTGTCCAGCAAGCCCCTTTTATGACCAATAGTCCTTTGCACGTGCAGAAAATTGTTGCCTTCTTGTAGTCTACAAGCGTTTTGCTGTGTCATGACAACCATGGCACAAGGGCCCCGTATCCCACCCTTAACTTGATGCCCCCCCCCCCCCCATATCGCACCCTTAGCTTGTTCAGTCAGAGCCATTGCAACGTACAAACTGGTTTTAATGGTGCCTTACTCTCAGGCCAGAATAGCCCTTATGTCCAAGTAACACATAACGTGCGGCGTACTTGCCGTCCATTCATAGAGGCCTTGTCCTGGCCAGCAACTGTGGCCCGCTTGGGGTACGTGCATCGTATGTACATGTACAGTGGAACCTGTCTAAGACGACCGCTCAAGGGACCTTCAAAACCTGGTCTCTGTTACCAGGTGGTCTCCTTATCCAGAGGCATTTGGCTGGAAATACCATTCCTTGGTCCTGGTTTCAGTGGTCTTCTAGGGCAGGTGGTCGCCTTGACAGGTTTTGCTGTACCTGCATTATGCAGGGCTGGGCCCACGAAAGAGTTTCCCATTAAATTGCTGAATCTGATATGCTCAATACTGAAGCACATAATCAAAGTGGAAATTGTCATCAGTTTTCCCCCATGACTTCTGTCAAATAACCAGTTGCAATCAAAATCATTCATGTTTTGGTGGTAATGGGGTTGAGTAGCTCCTAGGGCTAGGTGACTATCTGTTTCTAATCGGTTGAGTGTATTCGTCTGTCGTGTATGTGTGTGTCTGTTTGTCTGTCTATATATTTGTGCATGCATCAATCTCCGCAGCGCTTAAGCGATGGAAGAGAACGGCCTCGCAACCGTCGACGCAGCCTCTCTGCTGCCAACTCGCCTCACCCAGTCCGTGTGAACATAACCACGCTGCGTCGGTTTAACGTTGTGGCCGTGTGTCCTGCGCAGCGCAGCCGAGAGACTATCGAAGTGGCAATGCCAAGTCCCGGACAGTATATCTTCAGCGTGGTGGGCGCAAATCGAAACGCCAACACCGACCAGTCAGGTATGCTGCATGAACACATGTGCTATTTAGCCTTACGTTGGCCAATGTCCCCAAAGGGGGGCATATGTTTCCCCTGACGTAACGGGACTCTGTCGTACTCGTGATAGTCACACCACGAGTACAAACAATCCGACACTCCAGAACAACTCCAGCACAAAACGTGTACATGTACATGTATGACGCATGGCAAACATGTGTCTGTGGCTTAGGCCTGTCCGAATATTCTGATTTTTTTGCATTTTGGGGTACTTTGGAGTGCATTTTGCATTTTTTGGAATTTTGCCCGTTTTCGGTCGAATTCCAACGTTTCAGCTCGGCCAAGTTCAGTTTGACTGGCTATTTCAGTGTCTTCTGTCCCTCTCACTTATTACTGGGCGCTAAGACACTGGCCTCCTTACGGAACACACAAGTGCGAATGGTTTGTGGATGCTACTGGACTTCCAAAGTCAAATACAACAGGAAATACTAGTAGGCGAACGACGTCTTCCGCCTTCACGAACGGGAAGCTCTGGAAACTGTCCACATCAGCGATCATTGGCATTATCTCATTGACCTTGCAAAGGTCGCACAGGCGGGCGGCTCGAAAAGCTGAGACGGCATTAGCTAGAACACCAGCCACACAGGAAACAGGCGTTGAAGTAGGTAATTGCAGGTGGCAAGCATTGGCGAGCCGTATCCATCCAGATCTCCCTGTGGTTAGGATTAGCGGCGCCTCCTAGCTGTGCAGCAACGGCTTCCGTCAAGGGCAAATGAATGGGCTGCATGGCCACGAAGGTGCGAATGCCACTGATAACTTCGTAAGCTACGAGACGAAGCGCACCGTCGCCTTCCAACTTGTACGTGGCTTGTACGAATGGACAGCAAAACTCGACCGTCACTGCGAGCTGGATTTGGAGTTCTACTCGGCATTCAAGGTTCTCAATGACAGCATGCATTCGGCGGCGCAAAGCTCCAGGCGTCTCGACATCAGTCCGGAGAAATCCGACCACATCTCCGAACAGGTTTAGCAGTTGATCCATGACTTCATATTTCGACCACCAGCGGGTTTTGCTATAGGTCTTGATGCTCACGTTTGTCAGAGCCTTCCAGTCCAACCTGACTTGGGGCTGTGAGAAGACAGCTGAATCCAGTAAAATACAAATGTGTCTAGCTGGTTGGTCACCACAGCTTCGCCGACATGATCTAGGCAGGAATTGAAACGATGGAGGAAAGTTCATAGCACCGGAAGTTTGTGGGTAGGCGAGATCTCAGCTCAGGGTCGTGGGTAGGTTGAGCAGCGTCGGGCGCCAATGTAGCACAAGAGGGATCCACGAGCGGGATTTGAACCCAGCACGTACCCCTGATTAGGCTACCGGGGATCACACACACGCCGGTCCTTCATGGACAGAACTACGCAGAGCCGGCTCCAGATCTAGCTCTTCAACTGGAACTGCAATCTGACCTTCCACGGGCAACTTCAACTGACCGGCACAGCAAGTCGTCCTGAAGGTGCTGCTGGTCACATACCAGTGGCGGATCCAGGATCCGAAACAAGGGGGGGGGGGGGCACACTACAGGCTCAATGGAACAAGTTTACTTTTACAATGACTTTTGTGATACTCGAACATGTAAATGTATGGGCACTATTGGTATAATATAACAATCAGCAATTGTACCAACCAAACGGAAAAAGACCTGTCTTATGATGTTTGTGATGTTTTATGAATTGATGTAATTATTTAGTTCAAGTTGTATAGTAAAATGATTTATTTCTAATGCTGGTATGCAAGTGTGAAATACTCGTACTATTAGTTCAGCTATCAGCAGTGATTGCGTTGGAAAGCAGCATACGCCTGGGCTTCATCCGTGCAAACCGGTCGATGATGGCATCCACATCAAGGGCGATGTCCTTATGGACGAAGAGTAGAATCAGTGATTGCCCATGGTGCTGCGCAACTTGGTCTTGATGTAGCCAAGTGCGGAGTTACTGCGCTCAACAGTTGCTGTTGTGACCGGTGCAACAAGCAGAATCGTCAAAATACGCTGGACATTTGGGAACGAGACGCTGTTCGCCTCCAGCAACGCAGCAGTGAGGTCGGAAGGGGGATCAACGTTTGCCCTGGCTTGGAACGCCAAGGCAAGTGAAGTTTGCAAGGCAAGGGCAGGAAAATCTACGCATTGCCATGCGAAGTTTTGGACTGTGTACTTGCACTTGTACCGTCTTTGTTTTCGTACTACGAGTACAGTGCAGTACTAGACCAAAACCGTAGTTCTGGTGCGCACGGATCGCGGATCGCGGAATACAGATCGACGCGACGAGAGTTGACAGTTCACAAGTTCAGTACACGCGTACCGCGTATCGATCTACGGACCCGGTGAACCAGTGCATGAATGTGTACAGTGCATGCAGTACAGCGACTGGGCCTTGTCATCTACACAGGAAGTGCGCGCGAGCTCGGTTTCGATCGAGATCAGTAAAAAAAAAGTCGGTCGGCGCTTCTGAAGGGGGGGGGGGGGGGGCACGTGCCCCCTTCGCCCCCCTCTAAATCCGCCACTGCATACCTGTCGCAAAGACCGTGTCGACACCGGCAGATCGGCCTTGATCTCTTGAACAATAGTGGAGAAGGCCTTGCAGGGACGCTGAGCTTCTTGGATGCGTTGCGTCGTGAGCGGACTCAGGTTCTGTCGGTCAGTAGCGGCAGCGAATGCAGCAGCACTATCAACGCAAACATCATCCGTCTCCTTGAACAGTTTGACCTTGGACGATGGAATCCGTGACAAACGACCGGCAAGGTTCTTGGCGGATGGAACTCATAACACATCCACCGCCGTGCCCGTTGTTGTAAGAAAAAGATCTCCAGCCGGCGCCGAATGAGCGTTGCATTCGAACCACTCGTCTTGGATTCTCTGCAGGTCATGACCTGTCTGCCGCAGCCAACTGACCTACTTCGAAGTACGAAACAATGAACACCAGCACGTGTTATTTTCGGATATCACCTCAGATTGACTATTACACTGTGGTCAGCGGAAACTGTCATGGCAGGACAGGCGGCCATAGAACACATACCGTGGTAATAGGCCGAAAAATGCACAAATTTAAGAACAATCCAGGCTAGATTTGTTTTCCACAAGACTAGTGTTCCTCATGGCATTATTTGCAGCATCTGCTGCTCTCCGTGATCGCTGAATAAGAACAACACGGCTGAATTTGAACATTTGAGAACGATGCTAGGCTGGGCCTTGAGTCTCTGCATTCTTCGGCTCTCGATCTTTCTGTAACTGTGACTGTTTGTACAGAGTATTAACCTATTTCATTCAACAAACACGCATGGTGTCGAATGGGCGGATACCAATTACGGAAATTCTACCTTCATTTCGGAATCAGCGGAATTCCATTGAATGCATTCTGACGATAAAGTCTGTATACGGTGGAACCTGTTTAAGACGACCGCGCGTGGGACCTTCAAAACGTGGTCTCTGTTACCAGGTGGTCTCTGTTACCAGGTGGTCTCCTTATATAGGGTCATTTGACTGTGTGTTGTGTGATGCCAGTCATCAGTTTTTGTGTAGTATTGTGTTTGCTGTGTGCTAGCAACCTTGAAATCTTGCTAGATCCATTGTGTGTGAGATTGATTTGGTGCGACGTGATGTGACGTGCTGCGTATTGTTTGTTGTAGAGGGCTCTGAGAATGCATGTGTTCCTGTGTGTGCGCATTCGTGTGTGTGTGTGTGTGTGTGTGTGTGTGTGTGTGTGTGTGTGTGTGTGTGTGTGTGTGTGTGTGTGTGTGTGTGTGTGTGTGTGTGTGTGTGTGTGTGTGTGTGTGTGTGTATGTATAACTCATAATCACAAGGTGATCGTAGAGGCATTAATCAGCGAGAGAATTGTGAATGATGTCTCTGTGTCCAATTCTATCGTGTGCTGCATGAGAGAGAGCATGCAAGGGAAGACCCGTCCAACTTTTGATGTTAGAAATCCATGATGTCGCGGGCCTTCCTCTTGGTCGAGATCCAGGAGTTGATCCTTGCAGGAAGGACTTGGAGAAAACGTCATGTCTCGTAACATTACCAAACCACATCAACTTAAATTTCTTGACTTCATTCGCTAGCCGTATCCTTGCTCCGATGATGCCATTGATTTCTTCCAGGATAGATTGGTTGGTACGCCGGTCGTGGTATGTTACTCCTAGTGTTGAAACGAGCGTATCTATAACAAACGAGCGATCAGTTCCACTAACGAGCAAGCTATCGAGCGAGCTAACGAGTTTCATTGATGTGGCAAATATGATTTTTTGAATAATTTTTTTTCTAAGTTCGATTTTTTCAGCTGGTTCAAATTATCACCGCCGGCATTTGGGGTTGCTGCTGCTTCACTTCGGACTGCTGTTTGGTGTCGAGGTGTCTTTTCAGCGCCGTCGTCGAGTAGCCTTTGTAAGAATAGACCGTTTTGCAAAGATTGCAAGTAGTCCTGGTCTTCGCTGCATCGCGGGAGAAAACTTCCAAACGACTGAGCGTAACTATTTTACTTTCACTCGCGCTGAATGGAGAGGTGACCGAAGCATATCCTGCGACAGGTCAGCAGATGCGGAACAAGACATCAGTGGAGTCCACCAAAGCTGCAACGACAACACAAACAACTCAAGTGTCGTGCAGGCATACTGTAACGGCGAGTGATTTTCACTTTGAGCGGGACTGGATTCTCGATCGACCAGGGAGTCGTAAAATATTTTACGACTCGTGTACGGAGTACGGTGTACGGTGTTCGTTAGTGCAAACGAGCTGGCCGCACAAACGAGCCGAGTTTCTGGCGAGCGAGCTAACGAGTATCCGGTGAGATCGTTTCAACACTAGTTACTCCTAGGAGTCAGCGGAAGCACTTCATCTCGAAGGGGGGGGGGGGGGGTGTAGACTATCGAATATCCAAAAAGCATAATACAGTGAGTGTAGCAGCAGGATTGGTAGCACCACAGTGAGTAGAGAGGAATTTTGATGCAGTATTCTTGTGCATGTATGTCTGTCAAACTGCAGGTTCAGGTTATACTCATGTCGTGGATGTGACGTTAGAGCATCTTCTGGAGTTGCGAATAAGCAGCACTCCGGTGAGTGATACACGATGTATGTGCTTTTCCCTTCTGTACTAGTACTGTGTGTGTGCACACATTCTCACATACACACACATGCACAAACACACACACACGCACATGCACGAACACACACACACACACACACACACACACACACACACACACACATACACACATACACACACGCACACACACACCATTTTGACCATCTGACTATTTGACGCCCATCGCCAGAGGCGATGATAGCGATGCTACAACAGAAGCCATAGGAACTTGTGCTGGGATTGCACCATTCAACAGCTTGCACGGCTGAAGAATTGACCGCCACTATTCAGCCTGGTCTACACCACACGGCTGGTGTGGCCAGTGAATCCCTCACACACGTACACACACACACACCACACACACACACACACCACACACACACACACACACACACACACACACACACACACACACACACACACACACACACACACAAACCACACACATGTCGGATGGGAACTAGCACCACTGACAATTACTTCAATGAAAAAGAGATTATAGTGGCCATGTGTTCACAGTAACTTAAAGGTGTGTATCCATCAACCGAGTAAATCAAATCTATTTACTGTGTTCTTTTTTAAAAGGTAGCTACCAATGTTCTCAGTGTTTTGCAGTCGGGGCGAGGGATCATTCTCTTTGCTCTCCATTACTGCTTGTTTGTAGGTATTTATTTTAGATGGCAACATCACGTTTGATGCAAGTGCCACCGTTAGCTGGCTACAGCGGCTGTTTTGAGGTGAGCACACGGGGAGTCCACATCACCATCGCTTTCCAAGCAACCTTACTGAATGACACGTGTACATATAGGGACGTGACGCTCGTCGGCAAATATCTGCCGGTGGTGTCGTCGTCATGACTACTAGTACGCTGGTTACTAACCCCGTATATGCATGCACTAGTGATGCACGCTCGCGCTGTATATAGCGTCGTCCCCTAACCCCCGCCCTGCACCCCAGCCTGCTGCCTATTTATGCTATCGTTTCCCTGTTGTATGTAACGAGACTAGTTAAGAAGTCAGACAAGCAGAACATCGCGCCGAGCATTGTACTGTCACGTACTAGATCAGCGTGGGTGTTGGCATGCCAGTGCTTTCGCCGTTATGTACTGCTGCTTTTCTGGAAACACACACACACACACACACACGCACGCACACACGCACGCACACACGCACACACGCATGCTGCTCATCGGTTTGAACATAGCACCAACCCGGACCCCCTACCCTGTATAGCCACATACCTGTCTGCTTGACTGTAGATATCATAGAGAGTGTGATTGATGTATTACCTGTGATCTGTCGCCGAAGTGTCCTGACCAACTTATGATACATGATGCCACGGTGGTCTGCATGATGCCATGGTCTGCATGATGCCACGGTGGTCTGCATGATGCCACGGTGGTCTGCTTATAATTTAAAGTATCTCTGAGATGACATGAATATGGTGATTTGTCTTGCCGAGCTACAGCTGTTTAAAACTTGGCGCCCTGAGCGCCTTGTGCTGATTTTCTAAGATTTTCTATTTCTTTCAAGAGGTCGTTTATTTGTTCATCGCCAAAAATGCCATGAACTTTTCTTCCAAGCAAGCTATCATTTCTCATCATCCCTTGCCTTTATAAAACTGCTCATAAGAAATCGCGAATCTTGACTCTCGCCGCTCTCATCAGCTTCCTTTTTATCCGAGTGCTCCCGATTGTGTACTTATCCGTAGTTGGTACTGCTAGTTTATTTCTTACTTCGTGCCCTCGTCTTTGCTTCCTGTCTACTCGCCTCAGTTCACCCACTGTCGCCATTTTTTAACGTTGGTGTCCGCGGTGTACCAAGGGCTTTTCTACTCCCGCTCTCATTATTTCTCTTCTTCTTTCTAATGTGTTTAGTGGACTCTCGTTTTACCGTCACACCTGTTTCTTAGCTTAGGTCCGGACGTCCGTCGTTTATCCGTCGTGTGTGTGTGTGTATGTAACCCCGCCGGCCCTGTTCTTTTAGTACTCCTGGCTACCATGCCGTATAAACGCTGGCATGCAGTGCCAGTGTATGCTAGATGCGCGTGCCGTTTAATACGTGTTTTTATAGTGAGTTTGTCCTTCTTCCGCTCATATGCTGTATACACCACACCTTGGTAGGCTGTAAGTCGCCGCAAGGATTGTGCGTGAAAGTTTCCTGTGCTGTACCCTGCTCTCCATTGGCTGTGTCTACACGATTGTGCTGAGCTGCGAGTTACCCGTGCCTGTCCAGTGCAGCCGCTGTCCTGATTTTAATGCTCTATTTTATCCGGTGTGGTTCTTTGATTTTCGATTTTGAACTCTCCCTCGTATATGCCGTGTCTGACTATCTCCTCGTTACTTGACTCTTCGTGATATACATGTACATGATTGTATTGCTTCTTATGGTCATGTGCAAACTTACTTTAAAAAAGAAATATTTCCTTAAAATATTCTACTCCTGGATTGCATTGGATGGTGATGGGATCGTGAGAGAACACGGTCATGCCCTGGCAGCGCGCCGGCTTTAATTGTGCGTGGTGTCCGAGACCTGCGCGCATGCGGCACTATAGACGCGTTTGCCAGTGTTCTGCATGGGGGCTTGGCTTTGGGTTGTACTGGTCTGGAGCGATCTTATGCACAGTCACTTGACGCACAAATGTGACTGTGTACTCGTGTCGACACACTCGTATTACTGTGTCAGTGTACGTGTGTGTGTGTGTGTGTGTGTGTGTGTGTGTGTGTGTGTGTGTGTGTGTGTGTGTGTGTGTGTGTGTGTGTGTTCATCAGCTGTGTGGTGGATACCAGGCTAGAAAATAGCGGCGGTCAATTCATCAGCCTTGCAAGCTGTTGAATGGTGTAATCCCAGCACAAGTTGATATGCCTAACATAGCTGTTCGCTATCATCGCTTCCGGAATTCCGCGATGGGCACGTCTGAGGTCTGAGGTGTGTGTGTGTGTGTGTGTGTGTGTGTGTGTGTGTGTGTGTGTGTGTGTGTGTGTGTGTGTGTGTGTATGCATGTGTCAGTGTGTGTGGTGGTGAGTTTCACTTTCTTGCAAATGTTGCGTTTTGCTGAGCACCACCACGTCCCCAACACGGGGTGATGCCTTGCAAGATAACAAAGAACATGAATACGTAGTATACCAGCTCCACACATTGCACATAGGGTGGACTGCATGGCTTGTGTGGTTCTGCATATGCACCGACTGTGACCTAGTCGATTACTGTAAAACCGGAAAGTTTAACGAGTCACGAAGTCTAGAAGCTATTTTAAAAACGTTTTAACGACCAACCATTTTTCGTTATTTGAAAAAAACGTGATCGCTAGATGTCCGTGTTAAAGATGCGCATACAGATGGGTGGCCACCAGGGAGTAGTAAAATACATATTTTACTACTCCCTGGTGGCCACTGGCCAGGTATACAGGTAGCCATCGTTTCCAGTTTAGATGGGACTTTGCTCTGGGTATGGAAATTCTGTCGTTATTCGCGAATTGTCGTTAATATTAGCGAAATTGACTGTCAAGTAAAACAAAAAAATACCAAAATACAACATGAGTCCGATCCGACAGTGTAGTAGATCTTCACATAATAGGGCTTGAAAGTGCTACGTCACAGCATAGCAACAATTTCAAAAATTCAAAACAGTTTTTGTATGGATCCAAGCACATTTCAAGCCGTCTTACTCACCGCAAGGTGATGTAGCCAGTGAAACTGACTGATTTGACTACTGGGGGTGGGGTTACAACTGGTGGCGAAGTAAAAGTCACACCTGCATACGACATGAGTGGGTTGCTATGCACCCACATACTGAAGCAATAGCAAAGTCACACCGTAGTGGATCCAAAATAGAAATCTGATGTCAACTTACTACTCCCTGGCCGTTTTTGACGTCATCACTTTCAAGCCCTACAGTAGGCGCTACATTTAGAAAAGCGATCCTGTCAGCTTTTCCATTATTTTTATTATCATGATGTCTGGATACGACTGCGTCCGTGAAGCCTGAACTCAGGCTGAAGGCTTCCATTGACCGGTGGTGTTGCTCTTTCAGTTCCGAACGAGCCTACGCCGTAACTCCACGACTCCATGCCCAAGCCCAGCACACACTTTACCGTAGTGTGAAGTAACACGTCGTTAGTTACTACAAGAACAATACTACATGTAGTTGCCTCCTGCCAGTCCTGGCTATCGGTGTATAAATATTTAGCAAAACTGAGCCCAACAGCTCAGATCAGACTCACCCAGACTACCAGAGCTACATGACTGTAGTGTTCTGTAGTCTAGATAATACAGACTCAGTACAGACAGTGTCGAGTGGACAGCCACACGCGCTGTCACAACACAACAGTACTGTCAGACAGTAGGCACTAGGCAAGCGCCAGCCGCCAGCTGATCGAAGAGTTGAAAAATGAAAGACCCTGACACCAGGTACTAGGTCACCCTGAGTTCCTGTGTGTGCGTGTGTCAAGGCGTGTGTTGCCCGTGATCCCACCCAGACACTGGTAGAACGCTAGCGTGCAGCATTCTCGGTACCGGTGCAGCTGGGCAGGGATCGGTCGCATTCACAACTATGTGCGCTAGGGGTGCGCATGCTCTCCGCCTAGAACGACGACATCTGACACTTGTTCTACGGAAAAATCCGCTCGTTACAATACGATCCCAAACAGCGAAAAGGTGTGCTGCTATCTGATCACTCAGTGTCGGCTAGCTATCACTGTATCAGTATCAGTTTAGCGTACACCCTACCCGTACACAGCGCACCGTGTTGCACTTCGCTAGCACAGCAGAAGTGAATGCCAAGCTGCGATTTTACTCCCACGTCGTCACATTTGCTGTGAGCGGAAGGCAAAGCATTTGACGTACAGTGAATCAGTCACTTCACTAGAGTCGAGTCATTGACGAAGAAGACGAGACGAATCTTATCCTTTTTGCTTCTTGCTAGCTACAGAGCTCATATCGGTCTTTAGAACGTTTTGTCCTCAACTTTACCGCCAAGATGGTAAGTAGTTAGCGAACTGTCGACCTTTACTGGCTTTAGAATGTGTAGTACCACCAGCCGACATGTGCGCTTCATGTGGTCCGTTCCTGTGCTTGGTAGAGTTCGAGAAAAGCCGGTATGAAGAAGGGAGCCCAGGGCAAGCGGACCAGGGCCACACGCGCCTCGTCCAATGTGTTCGCTATGTTCGACCAGGCCCAAATCCAGGAATTCAAGGAGGTAATGTGGGTCTGATAGCATTTTTTTTGTCCACGTAACGATGTTAGCTGCAAGACGTTTGCACCAAAATAACTCCACGAGTGTTGTTTGAAACGAGTGGGCTAAACGCGAGATGAGTGTCGTTGCTGAAAATCGGTGCCTCTTTTTCCCCACACACTGGCTAGTTGTTCCAGAACAACGTCTGTCAGTGTGGTGTAAGACTTTGGGACGTTTGTATAAAAATATCAATGTTGCGTATCCAAAATATTGGAAGTATTGTGGATATGCCTGACTGACTTTGGCAGACCGAAACGTCGGTTTATCGGAATATGGGAATTCCCGATCGCACCTGCCCGGTGCTACTTTTCAGTTAGGCGAGTCGTTTGGCTCCCTGCATGGCTCTCTCTCTATCTCTCTCTCTCTCTCTCTCTCTCTCTCTCTCTCTCTCTCTCTCTCTCTCTCTCTCTCTCTCTCTCTCTCTCTCTCTCTCTCTCTCTCTCTCTCTCTCTCTCTCTCTCTCTCTCTCTCTCTCTCTCTCTCTCTCTCTCTCTCTCTCTCTCTCTCTCTCTCTCTCTCTCTCTCTCTCTCTCTCTCTCTCTCTCTCTCTCTCTCTCTCTCTCTCTCTCTCTCTCTCTCTCTCTCTCTCTCTCTCTCTCTCTCTCTCTCTCTCTCTCTCTCTCTCTCTCTCTCTCTCTCTCTCTCTCTCACCCCATTCCTCTTTCATTCCTGACAAGCACGATCCAACACTCAGACTGGGTACCGTGATTCGCTCCACAGTCCAGAGAAAGGCAGTGATACTGTACAGGTTATTCTCAGTGCTGTCGTGTACGTCCAAACTGTATCTTACCACTCACTTATAAATCCTGTGTGGCAACAGTCAGAAAGACAGACGGGTGTGACAAGACAATGCATGTGGAGTATGATACTGGTGGGAGGACCATTTGTCTTTATAGTAGGCTCCAGGGGACCAATGTCTTATGCCAGTGGCTCAGTATGTATGTAGCTGCTGCATAACACTGTATCCCTTGCTCCAGTACAACTTACAATCACACGCAGGTCTGCAGGAGATTTACAGAAAAGAGGAATGTTTGGCTACCAGTATACTACTTGTCATACGACAATACAATGAAACCTGGCTTATATAATTATAAGGTGACCAATCAAGGAAACTGTGGTCCCTGTGTACACATGATCTCCATACCCAGGGTCATTTGACTGGAAATCATTACCAACATGTTACATGTAGTCCTGGTTGTAGTGGTCCTCTGGGGCCGCATGTGATCATCGCCATTACCGTCCTGGTTGTAGTGGTCCTCTGGGGCCGCATGTAATCATCGCCATTACCGGCCTGGTTGTAGTGGTCCTCTGGGGCCGCATGTGATCATGTGATCATGTGATCATGTGATCATGTGATCATCGCCATTACCATGATAACAGGTTATACTGCACTTACCTGTTTTGCTTTTGAAGCAAAACATTCACCCTTATTCCACCCCTCCTTGAATAGTGTAATGGCCATTGTGTCCTTTCGCCGGGTCGTTTCAACCCTTTCCGTTTCAACCATGTCGCCGGCTTTAGAACCCACAATGAGAAGTCAATGGAAATCAGCCCGTTACCCGTTCGTACGAAACCTACCAAAAAGTTAATGCAAACGTAGTTGTCCTACGTAAAGCCGCTACTACCGATTATGTCATCACCACCCGATGATGTCATAACTACCAAGCCCACTACAGATTACGTCATCACTGCCGATGATGTCATCAGACTCATCACTACCAGACCCACTGCCGATAACCATTGATAACATCACCACTACCAAGCCCTATATTTTGGAATTCTGCAATGGCCGTTCATATTTTGATAATTTTAATGGTATCAGTGTCCGTATTACATCACCATGAAAGTATGGTGATGTCATGTCAGGTGACACAACACAACAGCAGTTAACCAGTGAACAATGGTTTGGATGTTTTCTTTGCCGTAGGCGTTCAATATGATTGATCAGAATCGTGATGGTTTCATTGACAAGGACGACTTGAAGGATATGTATGCATCACTAGGTATGTTGTTTGTTTCAAATCTTTATTCTCACGATGGCCTTTGGCCAATAAGAGATTTGTTGTTGTCGTCGTCGTTGCTGCTGCTGTTGTGGTTGTTATGCATGCTACCAAGGCAAGCTCTGTCTGTCGGGATCTTGTACTGCTCCTTACAACTAATGAGTGCTAAGCTGCACACAGAATCACCTATACATGTACACGTCATTCATATCTCGCTTGTCCTGGCAGTCCGGTACTGGGCACTGCCCATAGCTTTAAAATGCCCATAACTCTCAGAAACTTTGGGCACCCGTAGCCGATGTGACGCAAGCACATGCACTCCGTTCTCAGTGTGTACAGTTCTGCTCGGTGAAATCCAACCCAAAGTGCATATTTGGCGCCCTGAACTTGCACGGCCCTTGGCGCCCTGGCAGTGGTACGACTGCGCCTGGACATACGCATGTACAAGTACAGTGATGTACATGTACTGGCGTAACTGGTCCAGGGCGTTAGTTTTGCATCTTTGGCCGAATTTCAGCCAGCACAACTTTAAGTTATATGACTGTCTGCCTATACGTGTGTGCGTGTTTGTTACACAGGTCAAGAACCCACCGATGAGTTCCTGGAGAACATGATGGGAGATGCGCACGGACCTATCAACTTCACGATGTTCTTGACTCTTTTCGGAGAGAAACTTGCAGGTTAGTAGTAGCCATAGTAGTAGTAGCAGTAGTTCACGAGTGCTGTTTATTTCTTCATCATTTCATGTTGCGGCACAGTAGGCTGTCAAGGGGGAGCAGGCAGCAGCACAGGTCAAGATTGACATGATGTACTGTATAGGGTGAGCAGGCAGCACAGGTCAAGATTGACATGATGCTAGGCTGTCAAGGGTGAGCAGGCAGCAGCACAGGTCAATATTGACATGATGCCGTAATGTACTGTATAGGCAGAAAATTTCGTCGGTCAATAATTTCGTCCAACTCCAAAGAAAGGGAATTCGTCCGGTTGTAAATTTCGTCCATGGATCATAAGAGTGTATTGAAAAGCTGGACAAATCGACATTCGTCCGGCATTTAATTTAGTCCAAAAGCTCCATGGACGAAAAGGACGAAATTAAATTCCAGACGAACATTTCTGCTTGTACAGTTCAGTCAGACCTCGCTTATCCAGTCCTCTTTTATCCGGATCCTTCGCCATCCGGAAGAAAATTGTCCGTTACCAATTTACAGCATATGTCATGCATACGTACAATATGTGTGTTCGATTATCCGGTTCCCTCGCCTATCTGGATATTTTTGTGGAAAACGGATGTGTGCGGTTATGCGAGGTCTGACTGTACTTGAACACAACTGATTGTAAGAGCTACCCACTGACCTGTCCAACAGAGTTTTCACTGCTTGTAGACCAGCAGTTTTAGCTCCGGGTAGTTTGTCATGTTCAGTACACGGCGTGTCTGGTGCAGTGCCGGATCCCGCTGTCCCATCAGTATCAACGGCATACACACTGAGTCACTGCCATTGGGCCTAAATGCATGCATGGACATGTCATGTAGTGTGCTAGTTGCAACGATTGATTCAAGATAATTATTATTGAGAGTATCGTTCTAGTGTAGCAGTGGTGTAGCTGATCCACTTTATAGTTACTTCGAAGTATAGGGGGTGCACCTCTAGCTTCACAGCAGGCACTGAACTACGTTCCCTAGGCCAATTGGCCCAGATATGCAAATGGTTGCAGGTCACGAGAGAAAGATTTTAGGGGGTACACATGCCCCTATGCCCCTCACAAGCTGCATGCCTGTGCGCCAAGGTTATTTTTGTTGTTTCTGTAATCGATGTACGCTCTTTGTGTGTGTTTTGGTGTGCTCTACAGGTACGGACCCCGAGGAGGTAATCAGGAATGCTTTCGCCTGCTTCGACGACAGCGCATCGGGCTACATCCACGAAGATAAGTAAGTCGTTGGTCCACCAACTACGAATGAATTTGTGTCTCTCCTAAATCTACAGCTACCACAGATAGTGTATTGTAAACCGTTAAAACGCACCTGTTTTCGCTGGCATGTACTGTTTGGTCAGTGGTACTGCTCCTGTTTTCGCTGGCATGTACTGTTTGGTACTCCTCCTGTTTTCACTGACATGTAGTACACAGTACTCGGGAGTCCTGGATCACCATTGTGTGTGTGTGTGCTGACTAATAGTCGGTGCCTGCACATACTCGTATAGCACTGCTGGAGTTAGGTGCAATGTTATTTCCAGTGGACGGGTCCAGCACCGAAAGTCAGCACGTCGGAAATAACGTGTATCTTAATCTCTCTATTGTACTGCTGTAACTGCTCATGTGCGAGCTTGCACACCACCTGCTAACCTGATGAGGGAAATGTTCAAGTGTCAAATAAAATGTGAAAACTTGTGAAAGGACTGTATGGTCAGCTTGACTGTGTTACCACACCGGCCGACATGTCGGTCGCCTGCCGATTTCGAAGGCATGGTAGAGTGATTGCCGGGGAATGATCAGATCTGCTCTGCACTACATCATTACCAGCAATTATATGACATCCCACAGAGTCCGAAATTCCGTAAAATATTTGCGCATTTACTGCAGAGAGTGATCTTGGAAGGAAGAAAATTGCTCTGAACTATGGCCATGATCGAAATGTAAGGCATCAAACCAGTGAACCACGCCAACAAGACAAACAGTTACACAACGAAAAAAACGAAAGTGAAAAACATTGAACAACCGATGCGATCTCAACTCCGAAGAATCATGATTTTCTTCTCCACTGAAAAGTATCTGTTACCTTGGTGATCTTGAGGAAATAGCAAGAATTGACCTTCTTCATGGTCATTTCTGAAGCTTCCTCCAAATATTGTCAGCCAACAAACCACAGCATTGTCACCTGGCTAGTCTGATCTCTGTCCTCAAGAAGGACCAGTTCCAAAAGATTGCAGGTCCAGTGCGCTTTCTAGCTTCAAAGATCTGGGAAATCGCCTCATTCTGCACATTTCATGCAGCTTCTCAATTGTTTCTGGCTTGACATTGAACAGCAAGAAGATGAAAAGCACTTCTTTCTCAGTTTTTTCGAGTAAACTACCTCTCCAACCGCGTGGCTTTCTCTGAAAGCCATTTTGTAGGGGCTTTCCCATGGCCATGTGCTGGATGCATGCCATCATTGCCATGTCGATGTACTGACATGACATGATGCATGCTGTCATGCACAAGGACGTAGACTACTCAGTGACTACACGTATACAGTACTCTGTACAACTCGTATAGTCGTAGTCTAGAGTAACTGAGCCAGGGAGTCGAATTTTATGACTGCCTGTTGACAAATAGCAACTTGTTTGGTGTAAATTTCGTTTAGAGTGGCTGACAGCTTTGCCAGCTTGATACTTGGTTTCATTCTGCAGCTCACTGGTTTGAGAATAGTGTTTTTTTGCGGCTTCTTCAACGGATATTGTGCACCATCATCAAGGTGGTTACCTATTTGTGATGCAGCTTCAACTAAAAGTACAACAACAAAAGCAACAGCCTACATTCAACAGCCACAGCCCATGACAACCAGAACAACAACAACAACGACTACAACAACAACAACAACAACAACAACAATAACGCCAATTCTCGTTCCTCATATACTGGCACACACAGAGACATAGACAGCAATAGCGGCAACACACAAATTAAAGGGTAGTTGGCCGCAGCCAGATGTGACACTTGCGCAGCTAGTGGGGAAGCACTAGCCATCGGTATTCGGTATGAAAAGATAGAATCTTGCGGCCTACGTATATTGAATGCCTTGAAAAACGCGTCAACATGTTGAAGGTATGACCAGCATCAGCCAAGGACTGATGGTCAAAGCAAATACCAAAATACACTGCTATAATATTAAAACACACGATCCTTGAAGGGTGGTGGCGTTCCTACGGATGCGGAAAACTCGGCCTTTAGCCGAGTTTGACGCGAACAGTGAAATATACAAGTAATAATAAACAGAACTACAAGGACACATTATGTCACCATTATGTCGGCTGCGCAACCAGTCACTCATCTGACATAAGAATTTTTGAAGCAGCTAGTTGTCTGGAAACTGGGCATGCTTCCAGTTCGTGTCGGTACTTTCAAACTCTGGTTGCTGCAGGTGAAAAGAGATTTCTCGCAAACCTATTAAAATGCACGGTTGCAGGCAGCGGTGTACAAGAATAAAAAGAAACGGAAAGAAATAACAAGGGTGCTTCAACGTTGACTGGGTTCGATCACTGAACACTAGACAAGAATGTTTGCAAAACAAAGGTAGAAGAACTGGTCAGCCTCAAATGCTACCTCAAGGACACACAGCGTATCCAAAAAGTAAAGAAAAAATGGAAAATGGTGAGCTGGAGGCGACTGTCGCCGCCATCACTGAGCAGTGCAAATGGTATGGGCAGACAAAAACCAATAGGAGAAGACCTACACAGTACTGAAGGAGATGTCAAGCATGAATGCCAAACCTACAAGTGAACCTGAAGGAGAGGAGGATGTGGGTGATGCCATCTTGGCTACCCTGGCCAAAGATTTCTCTGAGCTACGGCACCACATACCTGCACAGGAAAACCAGCAGAAGCATAACGGAGAGCCTCATCATATCGTTGGGAAACGGCAACAGCAGCGCAACATGAAGAAATAGAAAATGTGTGCTGAAGCTGCATTCTGGTTTACAAGAATGTTTGGGTCTCACTGCTAATTTACCTCGTACGCATGGCCTGTGTAATTGCTTTACCCTTTTCTCTGCTCTTTCCGGTTGCACAGATGTTTAGCTTGTACAAGTGCTTTCACTTACTCCCACCCACTCTCACCTCTCTTTCCGGGTATATACGGATATCATTGCTTTTTCTTCTATCTTTCACACTAGTAATGTACTGCGTCCGGACTTCGCTAAAGCTTAGATAAATATTGATACCTAAATCTATAACTTGCAGTGCTTCCAGGAATACAATGCTGGTGATGCTATGCTTTACCTCCATTAGCCGTCTGTGCCATTGTGCAGATTTGTATTCAGACAAATTAGTTTCATGCTACAATGCTTTCGTTGTGCTCTGCGGTAAGCTCATGATTAATCAATGCCCTTTTCTGTGGAAGAGACAAACTGCCGGGCAGCACGATCCCCTCCTGTCATAGATCCAGAGGAGTACTGCAGGAACGTACATGGACTACAGCGAATCATAGGCTTGAAGGTAATCAGGTAGTGAGCCCGTGGGCCTTGTCCATGTACGTTAATGCAAGCATCCCAACCTGGAGGAAAGAACTTCGCAGGGAAATTCTTCGGTCCCAACCCCCTTTGTCCAGTTTCTGATTCGAAAGTCAGAAATAGACTATTTCATTTCAAGGAGGAAAACTTCCTTCTGCCAGCGGAGAGGGCTCGACACAATAATGTGGAGCACTATTACACGTAAAACTCCATTGTGCCTTTTGTGACTATTTCACTTCTATTTTTCACTGCACAGCAGTGCAAGCTCCATCAGCAGCCTCAAACATTCGTCATCTGAGAAAGGGCCCAACATTCCCCGAACCATCAAAATATCTACAGCAAACAAACGGGAGATTTTCAAATTCATGCAAGAATACATTCAATAAATTCACCCAAAATGAAATGAAATCACCTGATAGATCGTCACTGATATCTGATATCTTCATACTCCCAAGTTCATAGAGGATAAAGTCTCTCCATTTCACAGGGTGCTGCACGCTGCCACCCTAAAGCAACAAAATTCACAGTGCAACGAACAGCTCAATTGTGTCGACCTCGCGACCTGATTTATTACAATAAAATAAACGTACCTTCTTTCCCACTGTCGATCCGGTAAGAAGCAGCGAAAACTTCAGGCCCCTAAGACTGCTTGAATTTTCTCCACAGCGGACTGCTGCTGAAAACATCAGCTTGGCGTAAAAACCAGGCTCATTCTGTCTATGAGATACCTAGCGTAAATGAGAGCCTTCTCGTCGCCAGCCACAACAATAACAACAACAAAAATCACCTCCACCGAAAAAGACATTATCCATATAAAAATCGCTCTGTGAGCGGTTCTGAAAAACCTTTACTGGTACTGCCCCGTCGTAAAAGTAAGAAATTAGAACTGGCCCATTGTCCCCCCAAACGCGAACTGATCCACCTAAATCGCGAATGACGGGACCCGAACGCACCAGTAGCACGAGGTCGGGAGGGCACAGGATCACGGCAATTATCATAGGGTAACACCAGTAGTAGTAGTAGAATTTATTATTTTGATAGGTAAGTCTACCGCTAGTACAGCACATGGCCTATGGTCCGGACCAACGTCCCCATCTGCATCCACAGGTAGGAACCTCGTGCTACTGGTGCGTTCGGGTCCCGTCATTCGCGATTTAGGTGGATCAGTTCGCGTTTGGGGGGACAATGGGCCAGTTCTAATTTCTTACTTTTACGACGGGGCAGTACCAGTAAAGGTTTTTCAGAACCGCTCACAGAGCGATTTTTATATGGATAATTTCCGCTCTTTTTCCGTTCCCTCCCCACCCCAACCCCGAAGGTAAACATGATGACCACGCGCGCGATGTACTGTATGTAGCCATGCGACTGCAATAACACACTGATACATACCAGCCCTCCCCGCCTCGCTACCCCGCACACAGATACACAAACATGTGTATGCACACGGCACACACACGTGGCCACGCACACATACGCACATGCACACGGCACAAACAGGAAATTCTTCATGTATAATGCCATGCAAAGCAGTGACCATCGTACTTGAGGAAGTCAGTTGTGAAACAAAAATAATTCAACTACAGCGTGTAGACAAGCTGACGGCCAAAGCACAACATAGCAAACATGACATTTGCCCAAGGATTGCAGTTTGCAGACCATGCCATGGAAGCAGCGAATACAGAATGTAATATCATACAAAGTGACAAGCAAGGACGTGGCCATCATACACCAGAAACTTGCAGAAAGTCACATATCCAACAGATAGAGAAGTGAACAGCAATCTGATACAGCCCACACAGGACAAAGCGGACCTGATACTCGTCCCAGGATCGCAAGTGGCAAACCCTTTTCAATGCATAACATGCAGGTGTACGTTAGACGCATGAACATCTGACCGTGTCGCCAGCATACAATGTCATCACATGTTTACTCCACAAGTTACACACATGCACAGTAGAAGCACAATAAAAGCAATGGAAAAGTACGATGTGGTTGCTGAAGCATCTTCACACTTCAAATTCAGACTTCAATGTGGTCGTCACGGGATGATATACCTGCAAGATACAAGTGATGAAGAAAGAAAGCAGAAGGTCGTGAGGTAGGCTATGAGACACCGCAAACGGTTCACCTACATGTCTGTTCAGGGCTAGTGCACTCACACGGAGAATTGTCATAATCGAGCATTTCCCAAACTGAGAAGTGCAATGAAATCCACTTGCATGCACAGGAGCAATTTTGCAATATTATGATGCGCAATTCAACACGATCTGCGATGCTGCGTGCGATGTGCCCTGCTGTCATGATAGTGACAGTCACCGCGGTATGTTTTGTCAACGTCGCCCGTGCACTCTTCTGTCAAGTCCAAAGTGCTCACATACTTGGCAATGTTTTTGCAGTGATTAACTTTTATCCTAGTTATGTCACGGGTAACTTTAATGAAGTACCCGCAGACCGTGTCGATCTGCACATCGTCCACTCTCTCATGTACTTGGCCTGCTTTGTCTGTGTATCCATTTCATGTGCGATCCACAAAATCGACTAGACAGTGGGTGCAATACGCTCTCTACCTGAAGACGTTCTTCTGGCGACATCTCGCCATGTACTTGGCCTGGCTTTGTCTTTGTATCCATTTCATGTTCGATCAACAAAATCTCAATGCACTACAGAGACTAGACAGTGGGTGCAATACGCTCTCTATCTGAAGACGTGAACCATTAATTTTTTTGGAAAAGTTATACGTACACCTGAAACGTAATGAAGTACAGGAATAGAGAGAGTGACTACAATACGCTCTCGACCTTATATAGTGATAACGTGAGTACAAGACACTCTCCACCTGATAACGTGTTAGAAGGTAACATGGCTACAGTCCCACCGTACCCTTCCGACACGACTGTGGACCATTAAATTTTTTGGAGAAGTTATACGTACACGCGATACCCTGGCACACACTGGCAACATATCAATGGGGTGCCTTACCGTCGTCTAGAGGAGACGTCTTCGCAGCAATATTTTCCCTCCTGCGCATTCAGTCGCCGACGCGACAGCGTTCACGGGGCCGTTCCAGTTGCGGAAGACATTCGATTCATCGGGCCAATTCAGAAACAGGGCCGTGGACACACAGGGGGCAGAGGAGAGACATTGTTAGTGGACAAGAAATATGCAGTGGCAAGTGGCGAGTGCCGCATGGGTGTCAAGTTGTCATGCACAATTCAGCTATTACTTACGGTCCAGCTAGTCCTGCCATTGCTCGCTCGTCCTGGTTCCTCCTCGTTCGTCTTCCTGCACGTCTGCACTTCTCCTTAACCACCGTTGGCTTTGCGGTACGGGGGTGCCGGAAGGAATTCCCACCATGTATCCATGTACATGAAGTCCCACCATGACTCTCCATGTACATGTCCACGGCCACGTCAGCAGTTTGTATAGTACCGGAAGGAGTTCCCACGATGTCTCCAAAGGCCTAGAGCGGACGTCTTTGCAGCAATTCTTTTCGCCCTGCGCATTCAGTTCACCGACGATGTCTCCAAAGGCAAAGGCCTAGAGCCTAGTAGAGGGGACGTCTTTGCAGCAATTCTTTTCACCCTAGTACCCTGCACATTCACTCCGCCGACACGACAGCGTTTACGGGGCCGTTCCAGGTGCAAAAGGTCCACGTCAGCAGTTCTCAACTATTTCGCGTACGGGATAGTCGCCGCGACAGCGTTTAAGGGGTCGTTCCAGGTGCAAAAGGTATCCATCAATGGCACTTTGCAGTATGGGTTACGAAAAGGGGCCTCCTCGTTCGACTTCTGCAGTTCTCCTTCCCGTCAGGGGTACGGAAAGGGGCCTCCTCGCAGTTGTCCTTGCCGTCAGGTACTAGGTCCACGTCATGCAGTTCTCAACTATTTCGCGTACGGGATAGTCGTCTTTGTCGTACGCGACATCGGTTACCGAGTGTCATTGGCACAAAGCAGACCGTTGACGGGGTCACGTGTCAAAAAAGTATCAACAACGTGTCGACTACGTGTCGACCACGTGTATAGCGGTACACTCAGCGGTACACTAATTCTCGTGCCATTCTCGTGTCACAAAACTGGAACATCGAGTACCAGTATGGAAAGGCTTCAGACAGGAAGCCTTTCCAATGCAGATCAGAGAGCTTGTTGTGTACAGCGTGAGTTCAAAAAATCCTTTTTCATTGAGATCACAAAAAAAACTGCACACTCGATCGCGCGATCGCGCGAGCTCAGCGCCAGCAGTGACGTTTGGGTGGAAATATTTTATTTGAAAAACTTTTGTCAGGCGCGATGTCGCTGATTGCTGGTGATGTCTGTGTACGGAACTGCAGGAACTGCCTTGTCACTTCTACTCGGAAAGTAAACTACATTGTACAGCTGCACCATTGGATTAGTTCACTGTCAGCTGGGTTGATGTGGATCTGCTGACGAGTGTCAACATGTGCTGTGCTGTGTTGGAGAGCTGACCTGCGGTGCTAATTCTGTGTTGTTCTTGTATTCCGCAATCTCACTATGTAGGCTGAAGGAGCTTCTGATGACGATGGGAGACCGTTTCACAGAAGATGAGGTCAGTGCAGATGATGATGATGGTGATGGTTGATGATGGTGCAGTTCTGTTACTTTGAATGTGAAGTGTGACTGGTGCAAATGTACCTGCTCTCAGGAGTGCGAGCAGATTGATGCATGTGAAATTACTGCTTTCTTTGCTCGATATTCCACGTGGACAATCAGTATTGCTATACAATTGTGGGGTTACTCGGGTCTCCTCTTTGTCTGTCCGTGTGTCCACATTGGTCTCTCTGATTGTCCATCTGTCCACATTTGTCTCTTTGTCTGTCCACATTTGCCTCCCCGTTTGTCCACGTGCACCTCTACCATAGGTCGATGAAGTACTGCGCGGCGCCACGATTGACTCTAAGGGAAATTTCGATTACCTGGCGTTTGCTCGTATGCTGAAGCACGGCAGTGACGACAAGTGAACGGGGAGAGGAGTCAGTGAGGAACGGAGGGGAAGAGGCGGGTGTGTAAATGAGACAGTATCTTATCTTCGCTGGTGCATACAGCTAGCCACAAGCTTATTATAACTGCATCCTCTGTAGACTGTACCCCCAGTCTCCCTTACTGTTAGTGCATGCAGGTCTGATGAAGTCACATGGTTGTGGGTGTGAGCGCACGTGTGGAGTTGGTTTGGAATCGGAGAGATCCTGTCTTGTGTCGTGTGTCTGTATGTGTGCTGCTGTGCTCATCCCATGCACACACTACACGCGCATGTCACGGCTGCATGTGTGGCGCACAGCAGTCTCCGTCATGTGCAGATTTTTCAGTGCTGTGTGTGAGTGTGAGCGGTGCTGTCAAATTGGACGTTTCTTACACTCCACGCTGTATTCCCTGTGTACCGTCGCTCCAGCATCACATACCGCATTCATCTACACCGGAATCCTATACTAGATGTGTATATTATTCTTACTAAATGTACAGTGACACATTGCATATTAGCTACCGTTTCTATCCTTTTTTAGAGTTACAGTATCACTCTTTAGCCATGACATAATGATGACGTCATCATGTTTGACCCATGTGGCTGTTTTGTAGCTGTATTGGACCGCAGGCAGTTGAAAGGCACGTTTCTTGTCGTTTGTGTGTGTGTGTGTGTGTGTGTGTGTGTGTGTGTGTGTGTGTGTGTGTGTGCTGTGTGACTGGCACATACCGTAATTCCGCGCATATAAGCCCATGGGCTTATATGTGAAACTATGCAGTTTGGGGATAAAATATCCAGTAAAACAATTACATGTTCGTTTTTTAGCCCATGGGCCAATATTAGAATTTTGAAGGTTCACGGAAAAGTACAAGTCCATGCTCATGGTCAGTCTACCATACTCTACTGGTAAACTGCACTGACCTGCTGTACCATGGTAGGAAGAGTCCATTTTGTGAAAAATTCTACTTGACACGCGAGTTGCATTGGTGTCTGGTTATTAGCCCATGGGCTTATACACGGAGGTGGGCTTATATCCGGATATAAGCCCATGGGCTTATATGCGCGGAATTACGGTACGCAATCTGAGAACGTTACAGAAAGGTGCAGTTGCTCAGCCAGTTGCTGATGTGACACTGGCTTGCAGTGGAACAGGTTCAATAAATTAACAAGATTTCAAACATAACGGAAGTATCACGGCAGTCTGAACTAGAAAGGTAGGTCAGGCTAACGCACAGAGCACTGAGCAAAATGGATTAGCTGTAGGAGATTGAGTGGTAAATGCGAAAATAGTCAAAAAACAGTATAAAATATTCTAAAGCAAAATCACGGTAGGGTATTGTACTGATATCGGCTACCTAGTTGTACACACCAAGTGACTAGTAGTAGCAAGAGTACATAAACCAGAGTGTGCAACTGTGCATATCAGATCTGAAACAGCGCAGTTCGTGCACTACGTCACCCTGGTGAGGTCAGCCAAGCTGCGACTTGCGTACAGCTCAAATTTTCGTGTTTTACAGTCCGGAAATCAGCCAAGTTTGCATGATTTAGACGTCCTGTTTTAGGATTTCGGTTCTAGTATGGCACACACTTAGGATGCACTGCAATGTAGTTAGTGAACTAGCGCGTAGCACATGCCGCACATGGCTCATTGTCAGCATGATGCGTGCGTGTGTATGTGTGGGTGTGCGTGGGTGTATGTGCGCGTGTAGGGATAGAACAGAACTTTGCAACATCCCCTTCTGGTATGAGTGGGTCGACGCTAGGCCAGCTAGCATTGCTCAGAGAGTATAAGTTATACGGATATACACTGCTCTACACCAAGGCAGTGGTATCGTGAGGACAAAACCCCCAATCATGTCAGCTACATCAGCTGCATCAGCTGGAACAACTACTCGTCTGCTGCTGAATGTTCCACTGAACGCAGTCCTCAAATTTTACCTTGTCACCACCGAAGATATCCAGGGCACTGCAAACAATCAAGTAGCACATACACATGATGCTTGTAATAAGCTACACAGACCATATTTCCCACAATATAAGTCACACGTGTTTACACTAAACTTCAAGGGCAAAGAAGGGAGTGCGATTTACAATTGAGTGTGACTTCCTACTTCTGGGAATGCATTGAAACAGTTTGGCTCAGACCTGATAATAATGCCTAGTTGCGACTCACAATCAAGTGTGACTTATAAAGGCGGAAATGCAGTAATAATAGAAGAGAAGGCGTACGGACCACAGAAGTCAATGCTGTCCTTACCTTCCGATCGTCAGGTCTACTTTGCCCTCTGAGAGACGATTGACTAAGTCCAGGTCTGAGAGAGCTGTGGGGATAAGAGCAAGATGAGTATATGTACATGGTGTGCACAAGTTGCTATGCCTAACAGAGCTTGATCGTTATCATTGCTTCAGTGATGGGCAGGAGTATGAGTATGTGCATGGGAATAGAGTTCATCAAACAACAGTTTGTAGCAGTGAAAATAGAACATTGTTATTAGCAACAAGATCAGTACATGATTGTACATGGGGAAAGAGTTCATGGAACAACAGTTTGTAGCAGTGAACATAGAGCATTAGAAATTGCCAGTGAGAAGTTGGAAAGTGGACAGAGTGAACAGGAACAAGGCTGTACCCATTGTCCAACCGTGAGAACAGGCACAGCCAAGTCTTCATCGCAATCAGTCCAGCTAGTCAGCCTGAAGTCTGCTGATGAAATCCACTCAAGCTTGAAACACATAACTACAGTGCTGGCCAGAGAATAAAGTAGCGCTGCATGCGAGTGCACAGAACAGTGTTTGTAGTGCTAGGGTTGCGCAGCGCCCGCCGCAATTATGTTCATGGGGTTGGATTTCTTTGTCCAGCACTGTAGTACTACGAAGTAGCTGTTCAGTGAACCACATACACACACACACACACACACACATACACACACACACACACACACACACACACACACACACACACACATACACACACACACACACACACACATACACACACACACACACACACACACACACACAACTTACCTTTCGCACCACCCGCATATGTGCATGGGATACTCGACCATTCTCCTAAAGCTACATAGAATAAAACACCAAACACACAGCCCACAAATAATCTTTCAGCAGTGTAGGGTCGACCGAACTTTGGCTTATCCATCCATCCGTCCTTATAGTCCACACAAAACGCACTACGTCAAAGTAAGTTTCACCAAATGGAAGAAAAAAATCAGAAATCGAGTCTACAATGTCATCACAGCTACTCTGCTGCTCGATGAAATCCGATCGTACGCGTAACTCGCTTGATTAGATTTCATTGAGCAGTACCGTAAAAAAACAAAAGGCAACCACTCGCAAGAGAGCAGTACGATTGAGCACTGGCATACGTAGGCCAAAATTGCAAGGCTGACTACATTGTAATTCAAAACGTGAACACAGTCAACTACTTGCTATTGTTATGCTACCTTTGACAAGCTGCTCATCAATGCCACTGCACAGACCCTGGTACAGTCAACAGAACACACACACACACACACAAACACGTACACACATGCACACACACGCGGATATCCAGGCAGCTGCCCACAAGGCATGTGTATCTTAGTGTATAGGTCGGCATTGACTGTCAGCGGCAAGATATGGCAAGCAGGCGTTCCATTCCACTTCTCTCAAGAGCTGAGCAAAACTAGAATATCTACTTAGTATCATTCAATCCAAACCATAGGAAGAGTGCTTGCTCCCCACACCATAGCCCGCGCTTTCCACCGACTTGACTTGAAACTTGACGCGGAAAGTGCGAGCTCCGTCGTGGGAGCTAGCACTTACCTATGTAATCATCGCCAAAGTCGCTACCACTATCTCTTAAATTAAAGCCATTGCCACAATATAGTACAGGTGGAATCCTGATAATTCGAATATGGCTTAATTCGAACATACCGCTTAATTAGAAGTTTTTCCAGGACCGATTTCTATCAATACGAGTCCCGCATAATTTTTTCTGATAATTCGAACCTCGAACTGGATATGACTTGTCCGGTTAATTCGAAGACCCACAGATTCCACTTACATAGAAAATGTGTGGATTTGTGCTGATAATTCGAAGTTAGCAAAGTGTAATTCGAAGTTCACTGTACATTGTACTGGTCAGTTCAGTTCAGTTTGCATGAGCCGGCTGTGCCGGTCAGTTCAGTATCTGCGAAATCTGTGTCTAAGGTCCATAGCGCAACTCTGCGTGACCATGAGAGCATTTTGACATACATATTGTGTTGTGGGTCACGAGTCATGTTTGGATAATTAGGATGTCCGGATAATTAGAAGTTTTTTCCTGGCATTTTGAGGTTCGAATTATCAGGATTCCACCTGTAGTACACGCAGGCAATAGCAGCAGCTTCTGTCCATATGTGATTTGGTAGCTCTCTTCTGGTGCTAAACAGTCAGCAGTATGGTACCGAGGTGAAGTACTTGCAGAGCGCCGCCAAGTCTCTCATGAGCAGCACCGCACCTTGATTTACAGCCAGGGAAAGGCACACCGTGTGGCGAGCCAAACTCAGGTCATAAGATTACAGTGTAAACGCTGAGTGCACAACAAGGTGCACACCTGGCCCTGTACAAACTCACGGTGTTCTTGTATGCAGGTCACCCCCATTCAAAGGTGAAATGAGCACGGACTGACTGCACAGCATGCAATGTGTGTAGTACACTGCACACGTTGTACATGTACCCGTTATTACCAACACCATATATAGCTCATCCCTTCCACTTCCAAACCCGGTAGAGGCAACGGTTTGAAATAGGACATAGGTTGCAAACCGGAACGGACTCAATATTCACTTTCTCTCTTGGTATTTTCATTAGAAAACATGTCTCAGTGAGACTACGATGTGTTATACTCCGAGCCAAAATTTCATGGCTCTGCGATGACCAGAAGCGCCATACCAAGCAGGTGAGTTTTTGACGTGTTGCTTCGCACTGCGACTTGAGTTTTACGACTTTCGAAAAATCAACTTCTTGTCGCAGGTAAACAGCGGCTCGCCTCTCGCCAATAAAGCACCGCATACCAATCAAAACTAATGGAAGCACACACACGGCTTACTGTTACTCTGTACTGGCCGTCGTGGAGCGATGGCAATTACCTAATTTCAGACCCAGAGTGAATTTGACGTGCACTCTAAAACGTGTCCGGTTTGGAGCCACCTCTGATTTGAACTTTTTTGAAGCGAAAAATTGGGCAACTTGGAGGCAATGGGTCAACACAAAGGAGTGGCTCAGTTCGATGACTCTGGCCCCAGAGCAAACTTCAACATGCCAGTTTCCTTCCACAAACATATTTCGAGTGAAAAATCAACGCTGATCATCGGTTTGGGTCTATACAAATTTGGCTGCCAAATCGTCCCGGTATCGAACCGTCTACTCTACCCCACCACCATGTCCAGTACATGCGGTGGGACTCTCTTGGCAGTACACTGTACTTTACGATACTCAAATTCCCATGAGAGTCATCTCCAGACCAGGAATGAAGTTCTCAAGCAGTACCGTATTTCCCCGAATATAAGTCGCGCCTTTTTACACTAAACTTCAAGAGCAAAGAAGGGGATGCGACTTACAATCGAGAGTGACATCCTACTTATATGCATGTATTGAAACAATGTGGTTTAAACCTCAAAGTGGGGATGCGCCTTACAATCGGGGAAATACGGTATGTACTGTTCTGGAGTGTTTTACCTGCACTGACTGTGGACAGTTGTGACTTTTTCAGCTCCGCAGTGTTTGAAAGCCCAGCCGGCAACAGGCCGGTCTGGAAGTAGGGCAGTAGTACTAGTGGCAGTGTAGGGTAGCATAGTGTAGGGGTGAAGGTAGGTAAAGCAGTCAGGGAGAACTTCTTCGCCATGGGCGAGCTCGCCGGAGAGCCTGCGATGAAACTTCTCTGCTCCCTCGCGGGTATAGAGCACACTCTGCTCAGCGTGCTGCAGACCCTGACTTTTCATGTCAGCGAGTCGAGGGATCGCGAGGGTCGTCTCCATCAGCATGTGGACAACCTCTCCGCGCAGCTCCTAGGCCTCCGTGAGGAATTTTGTTCCCTGCAGAAATCCGCCATTGTTCCCGACAATGCCCCTGCACAATCTTCTCAGCACCAAGCCCACGGCGACAAATCTCGTACCCGTACAAAACCTCGTAACCGTCCTCCCCAGCTTGACCCAGCCGATGCAGATGATGGACAACAGTCAGGGCAGGCCGACGTGACCTCTGGCTCTGCACAGCACGAAACCCGTACCCGTACGGACGACCCCGGCTTGGTCGATCCTGAGCCTGTGCAATCAAACTGCGAGAAGAGCCAACCTATCCTGGCCGTCATCAAGGATGACAGTTGGAAATTAGTTGCCGCGGGCCCGCCAAGAAAGAAGCGATCTGTGTTCTTTGTGGGCACCTCGAGCCACGACTGTACAGTGGACAGTCTCACTGAGTTTGTACACTGTAGGTCGGAAAGCGTGGGGACGCCTGTCAAAGCATCATGTCCAAGGTGATGGAGAAAATCGTAAACACTAGCATCATGAACCACCTGGAGAAGGGTGGGCTGCTCTCCCATTACCAATTTGGCTTCCGCTCTGGTCTCAGTGCTACTGACCTCCTCACAGCTCGGAACTATCAGTGGCAGACTGAACTGAACTCTGGTGGTGTTGTGCGTGCCTTGGCCGTCGACATTGCAGGCGCTTTTGATCGAGTCTCCCACCATGGTGCTCTCCACAAGCTCAAAGCCTATGGTATTGATGGGCCACTCCATCGATGGCTCTCTGCTTACCTGACAGACCGTCATCTGCAGGCAGTCATAGGCGGTGCTACGTCTCCCACCTTCCCGATCACTGCTGGTGTGCCCCAGGGGAGCATCCTTGGCCCCACCCTCTTTCTACTGTACGTGAACGATGCTGCTGACGTCCTCCCAAGCAGTGTTATCCCAGCCACGTACGCTGATGACATGACCTTGTATGCTGTCCTTCCCAAGCCTGAATCCGCTGCTGCCCACTGCGCTGACCTCCAGACTGGCGTAACTGCCCTGGCGGAATGGGGTGCCAAGTGGAGGATTCAGTTCGAACCTACAAAATCCCAGGCAATGACCATCTCACGACACCGCAAATACTGGCCCATCCCGCCCATTCTGTTCAACGGTGTTGCAGTTGACGAAGTAGAATCCCTCAAGCTGCTGGGAGTGACCTTCGACAGCCAGCTCCTGTACGGAGAACATCTGCGAACTGTCGCCATCCGCGCCTCCCAACGCATTGGCTTCCTGCGCAAGACACTGCCTGTCTTAGACCAGCCTAGGCAACTCGCTACCTACAAAGGTTTCATCCGCCCCCTGCTTGAGTACGGGCCACTCGTCTGGCACAGTACAGCAGCCAGCCACCTTGCCCGCCTGAACAAGGTCCAGCAGCGTGCCCTCTCCCTGGTAGGTCATGGAACCGTTGTTGACAGCCTGGAGCTCCGCCGCCAGATAAGTGGCCTCTGTGTGCTTTTTAAGCTCAAGTGTGGTGCACGCCTGCCATCCATTGAGCCCCTGTTCCCTCCTCTGGCAGCACCTACCAGAGAACCCCGCACAAGACGGCAGTCTCAGCAGTCGCAAGGTCACAACCAGCAGCTTAGCATCCCCCTCCGTCCACGCTCCAACAATGCCCTACTACTCGCATTCCCATACGGCTTCGTGCCTACCTGCAACTCCCTTCCACCTGCTATTCTAAGTGAAGCACCATGCCACCGTGGCCTCCAAGCCTTTAAGCTGAAGACGTATCAGCACCTCCGACGTAAAGACTGGGTTTGGGCGACAGATATCTGCCCATGATCAGTTCTTGGTCACCTGCCTTATCACCTCAATTGTTGCGCATACTCGATGCCGGTGCGTGCGTGATGGTGCATGTGTAAATGTGTGTGAGTGTGGGTGCACGTGTGTGAGTGTGGGTGCGTGTGTGTGTGTGTGTGGGTGTGTATGTAAGTTTGTGTGCTCGTGTAAGCGTGGGTGTGTGTGGCTGTGTGCACGTGTGTTTGTGTGCGCGTGCGCATGTGTTTGTGTGTGTGTGCGTGTGTCTGAGGGTGTGTTTGTGTATATGCATTCGGATGCCTGCTACTGGGCGTTTGTGGCAATGTGTTGTGTGCCTGCTCTCCTATCCTACATATTATTTATTTCTAATTTGCTCTGTTGTGCTCCTGCTCATTTTTTCTCACTTCGTATTTTTTCTGTTTGGCGCGCATGAGCAGTGCTGAAACCGAGACCCTTGGTCGGTTGAGCTGCTCTTGCCCCGCCTCCACTGCTTCGGCTGCCATCCCTATGTGTATCCCTATGTGCATCTCTGTGCGTTTTTGCCGGCGTTTGCACCATGATGGTTTGTGGCTATTTTGTAAAAAATAAAATAAAAAAGAGTAGTGAAACATAGAGAGTGCCGCTGACACAGTGGCAACACACTAGCACACCACCCGCAGCAGCAGCACAGACACACAGGCAGGTAGGCTCACCTCCACATCGGCCGCATGAACCAAGAACTCGCTACAGTACGACGCCAGAAGTGACATGGAATCTACAGCACAAAAAAAACCAACAGATTAGTACACAGTTAAAAGGAATTGAAGTTATAACTGGATGAGTCCTACTGTAGCGTAGTACTAGTAAGTGCACGACCATGTTCCAGGCACGACCATGTTCCAGGCATGACCATGTTCCAGGCACGACCATGTTCCAGGCACGACCATGTTCCAGGCACATAACATGCTGTACCTTTTAAAGTAGAATCATGCAGAGACGTGCCACTCTGTACCCACCATTTGCGTTGGTACATGTATATGTACATGTAACTAAAAAAGTTATATGGCTACAGCTGACGTTTGAAAGCAAACATTTGTAAGTCGCAACCGCTAGCCATTGAATAATGGTTGCATGTTAGTCATACCTTTGCTGAGCTCAAATTGGGTGACTGTCTGCCACTTGTTGGTGGCAACAAGCCAAGAGTCACCACGCCGTCGGCAGCTAATGTCCACCACAAGACGCTGCGGTGTGACAAGCTGTGACAGCTGTTTCAAACGCTCTTCGCTGAAAGAGGCATCGGGGAACAGCCAGGACGTCACAATGACCTGAACGTGCACACAAGTAACATTTTAGAAACAAATACAAGATCAGATGGAGAAGATAGACAGTGCACAGAGCAAGGAAAACGTGAATTGAGGATGTGCCGAGAGCATTGGATGGGTATGCATAGACTCTCTGAGGACATCGACACATGTTGTATAGTGCATTAAACTGTATACAATCAGCATCATAGTCAGCAGTATAGATATTATTATCTACAATGCCACAATAGTTCCGTGTGCTGCAACAATCATTTCAACATTGTATCAGTTGAGTTCTGATCTAGCACAGTAGCAATCGACAACACCAGGTTTAGAGTGGTCAACGTTCCACAACACCAGGTTTAGAGTCGTTAACGTCGGAGCACATACCTTACTGGCACCTGCCTCCAACCAGTGCATAGCATTGTCAGCATTGATTCCACCGCCAACCTGCAGTCCATTAGGCCAAGCGGCTAGAGCTGATCGAGCAGCCTCGTCGTTTCCTCCTCCCAACTTGATCACATGACCTCCCACTAACTGGTCTTTGCGATACAGCTCAGCAAAGTAAACAGGACCGTGGCTGCACAGAAGAGAGAGAGAGAGAGAGAGAGAGAGAGAGAGAGAGAGAGAGAGAGAGAGAGAGAGAGCACGCACACACGTGTCACAAACTATGCCGTAGGGTCGAGTACATTTACAGTTGTGGTCAAAGAAGTCCAACCCGCAAATCCAAAGCAGCACCGCATTTCCATTTCAATCACATCATGCATGGTCAGCCCATTCGAGGGCCGCATACGCCTTGCCGCTGCTTTCGGCTCATGGGTCGGATTTCGTTGGCCACGACTGTACAACCATGAGGCTGTACAGTGTAAGAACCTGAGTGTACTAGGTGCGGGCATGGTCCCACACTAACCCCACTAGCTTGCGTGGAGATGGCCGCCGCTGGAGCCGGTATTCGACCTGCCTTCACCAACTTACTTCAGTATGATTATTGATTTGAGTGCCTAAAGTCTCACTCGAAGAGAATTGGTGAGCACACATGCTCATTCCCTGGGCACTGCAAATTCACAACTCATTTCATTTCACATAATCATTTTCACCTTGATACAAAGTTGGTTTTCAAGTCTTGCTCTGCCGAGTCAAGAGTACCACCGACGATCTAACACATTGCATGGAAACACATGGAGACAGGCAAACAGACAGACGTGCGTTCACGAACTGATTTGTTGCGGCATAGGATAAGTACGTCAAAACATCATTGAATCAGTACAGAGTTTGGCTCTATTCGGTGACCATTGAACACAGAGAAGATTCCCGATGATCGCATTAGACGTGTGTGCCCATTGCTAGAGTACACATGTGTATAGACTATAGATACGTGTGTCCACAACTTTCTTTTGAAATAAAATTAATTTCTTTGCTATCCATGATGGCTAGAACTTGTTCATGTCTGCACAGGCACTAAGAAGTATCCGTGTTTCCTGGAGCTCCACTGTACATGATGAGATGTCCCTTCATATACTAGTGTACAGTTCTACCCTCTGGGCTTCGCCAGCAGAATTAGTGCCAAGAATACCAAAAATGATTACACTGTACAATGGAAATCAAACACAGTGGAATTCATAAAACAATTCGGACAGTTTCCATACCTGCTTCACTTGACCGTTATGAAGATCAATACAGGGACGAAACAAAGTAGGCATACTTCAACGGATGATCTCGAGCGTCTTCAATTGCTAGACTTAGTACAAAGATACCATCGTGGACTAAACCATAATAATAATAATGCTGTGTCGTCTGGAAATAGGGAAGTGGTTTTGCTGACCTGATTTTCGAAATGTTGAAAAGAGCGGCCACACATGGGACCAGGGAAAATCCCTTGTCTTACAACCACGTGCACCCATAGGCGCGGCACGTGCCAGATTCGAAGAAACAAAAAATCAGTTTTGTTTGATTCTGCTCGGACTCAAATACTCGATCTGTTTGATGCAAACAGGAGCAGTTATCTCGCCTCTTTCAACCTTGTCCATTTTCGCAAGCCGGTGATTATGTTGCCAGCAATAGTGCGAAGTCTATGGCTCTCGAGCAGTAGCGTTTCTCACACCCATCGCCTCCCCGGACTGGCGTTGGGTGCCTGTGTTGTTAGAACTCTCTGCACTCCACATGGTCATGGAGATCCAGACGTTCACCGGCACAGTGTCAAGTACGCGGTTGAGCAGTGTGAGAAGCGTCTAGCCGAGCAGAATATACCAGAGCCTGACCTATCAGCAAGGCACATGATGGCGCACATCTTGAATGGCAAATCCGTAAGTGCAACCAAGAATAGAGTGAAAGACAAAGAGGTGAAGAACATCGCATCATAGATGGCAATTTTTTATACATTTCCATCTACCGTATTTTCCGGGGTATAAGCCGCACCGGGGTATAAGCCGCACCCCCCTTTTTGAGGCAAAATATTGACTAAAAGTTGGTATTCGGAGTATAAGCCGCACCCACAAACCAAGATTTTTCACACTCAATGGCCTTTCTACAAATTTATTATGGTTATGGAGCTAAATACCATGTTAGATCAGATTATGAAGTGTTAGTGCACCACAGGTTGCTGCAGAGATGTTGGTGTATTGCTGTGTTGACTACAAATCACTCCATGTCATCTGCACTATCTTCAGTCTGGCTGCCACTGATGCACTAAAACTAGTAAAAGTGCCGGGATAGCAACACAGGCACGAAGCTGAGTCGAATGACATGTCACATTACGTCAGCATGCATACTGATGTATGCTAAGCATTCATTCGCGCAAGCATGTTCGGTGTATAAGCCGCAGGGGCGATTTTGGTCCGATTTTTAGCGAAAAAAAAGTGCGGCTTATACCCCGGAAAATACGGTACATTGTACTAGTACTGTCCATTCCTGAAATAAAATAAAAACAGGGACACTCACATCGGATTTCTATGTTGATTTACTTGATCTTGATGTGAGCATGTGTGTGTGTGTGTGTGCTGGCTGTGATGGCTGTGTTGCATGTCCTTATCGTAATGTGCGCAGCTGCATCATGTTCACAGCCGGCAAAAGACAATTCTCACGGACGCACAACTGCAAGAGTACAGGAAGATGGCAGAGCGCCGGCTGGAAAGGTGGGAGTTTGAGCCACCATGCCTAGTTTAGTAGGCAGGTGTGTGTGTGTGTGTGTGTTGGGTGGGGGGTAGATACTAGGTAGGTAGATTTTAGAGAAGTACTTTTTGAAGTAGTAAGAACGCGTTTCTGTGGAGCAGTGTTTGCTCCGGTCCGGGGTTCCAAACCAGCCCGGAACACCCGGCACATGACTTGTTTGTGCACCTGGTGTTGGCAGGCTACAAAGAAGTTGACGTCCATTCCAGAAGTTATGACTGTAAAGTAACGTACGTGAAATGCATGTTCTGCATACTCATCCTTTCATGCAGTCCCGTGTGTGTGTGTGTGTGTGTGTGTGTGTGTGTGTGTGTGTGTGTGTGTGTGAATGTGCCTTAATGAGGCATTTACTGCCGATGATGTTTCTTTCCAAAGTTGTGTGTCATCATGTCCTCTATCTTCCCTATTGGATGAGCTTTTAATCCACATGCTGCTGTGAGGAGCATCCATATCAGTTTCAGTTTTCATGAAGAACAGAATCAGTCTCTGGAGGAAAGGGCTTGGGGCTACAGGAACTATCAAACATACAAATTCCTATTTCTTAGAACCTAAATGTATGTACTCGCTGACATTGCTGCTGCTTGACATTGCTGCTGCTGTCGCTGTCGTCGTCGTCGTCGTTGTTGCAATATTACATTGACGTAGAACACCTGTCCCATATATCATCGGTGAGTGGGATTTCCGTTACCTGACACTGAGCTTGAGACCACCGGTGCTCATTCCACGACCGGAGACCGAGGTAAGAGTGGTCAATGTGCAATGGCTTTGTTTGATAGATAGATATAATATATCTATCTATCAAACATTATAATTATGTGTTTTCATATGTTTTGCCACTACTTCACTATGAGTTCTAGTACAGTCATGATGAAGTCTGCTGAGACAATTTTCATTTGTGAACAGGTGCTACTAGTTGTTTCGTTTTGGTCTCCCGTGGACCACACCAACAAAATTATTTTGTTTCACCCAAAAGGTCTAGGTTTAGAGAAGATTGGAAAGGCCCTTTGTTAGCCTTCTATGACATAATGGTGACATAATCGGTGTCGTTCGTAAGACATAAATGACTGCTTGTACTGTATACTGTACAACACGATATTTTCGGTGTAACTTTAATTTCGGTGATTTCGGTAGTGAAAACCAGCACCTAAATTTAAATTACACCTAAAAGACACCAGAGTATACACTGTACGTGAAGGGAATGCTGGTCACCTAATTCTACATTACACCTGAAACCTGGCAGGTCCCTGGCACCGAAATTTTGATGCACCTAAAATTACATGTTTTACAGTATGCACTCAATGAAACCTTTGGCAAAGGCCAGCGTTGTCACAAACACATTGATATAACGGTTGTTTGCATAACGTTAGTACGTGTACTCCAACTTAGTAGCATAGGTGCTCCTTGATCCTCGGATATCTTGTACTATGTGATGTATGGTCCCGTCCTGCTCAATGAAGTCCAGTCATGGCACTCAAGTTTGCGCCTTGCATCATTTCGCAACCCACTGTTCGCAGGTCTAGGGCTGCACAACGCCCGGCGCATACCTGAGTGACACAACTGGATTTCATTGAGTAGCTGTAGATGGCGTGGAGTTGCAATGCTGTTCTTGTTGACTGTGATTGATCTACAGGAGCTAGTGCAGCATGTCCTCCAAGATCTCAAGACAATTCCTACTTCTTCCAGTACCCGTGGAGTTGAAGGCAGTGATACCGACAGCAGTGCCGATACTGGCAGCAGTGCCGATACTGGCAGCAGTGCCGATACTGACAGCAGTGCCGATACCGGCAGCAGCGCCGATACTGGCAGCTTGCACTGCTTGGACATAGGCTGCGGCTCTGGTGCTATTTCACTGTCACTGCTTCATGAATGCCCCGAGGTAAGTGTGATGGGAGGGAGAGCCTGCGATCATGGACCCACTGACGGGTCCCTCGCGTTGCGCGCTGTCTTGCTTGCTGTGTTCAACGCTCAATGAGTCAGGTATTCGCACACTTGTAGATGACTATGTGATGGCACAGTACATACTGTACTCACTCGATTAGATACCCCTCGTGAATAGAAGCCTCCTCAAAATCAGCAATGAAAAATTGGAACGCCCCCCCCCCCCCCCCCCCCCCCGCTTCTATTCGAGTGAGTACGGTATTAGGAAACGCCTCTTTGCAACGCCAGGCTCCACCAGGCATTGTAGCTGCTAACCCTTCAGTAATAATGAGTGATGGCCTTCACTTCTTTGCATTACCAGGGTTCACTCCAATGCAATGCATGGCTCTGGCAGGTTTGGCAGCCGCTCAGCCACAACCGATGCCTCTTTGCAACACCTGGCATAGTGGTGGCGACTGTCCATAACCACATGATAGGGTACTGCAAGCAAACAAGCTCTGGTAGACGTACAACTTCACTATGTGTTGTCATATGCCTTGGGCATAGCTCTGGAATTTGTTAGTACGCAGTTTGTTAGTACGCAGCTTCTTACACATGACTCTCACATCCTCTGCTGGCCATCTTCAGTGGTAGGTTTCGCATAGCTGGTTTACCATCAGGCTGTATTGGGCTGTGATTTGCCAAACAGTGCATAGATGAACAGGGCTGGTCCACATCAAAACCATGGCTGTGTGAATGGTGTACTGTTTGTATCTGTACTGGCTTGCAGGTATCTGTATCAGCAGTGGACATCAACACAGCTGCTGTTGATCTTACTCGGCATAATGCAGCCAGGTAGGAGTAATGATACACATGTACACTACAGGCACTTCTATAGACAAGCTACTGTATTTTCCGGATTATAGCCGGCACCCAGGTTTTTGTTACGAAATACCCAATGCTGTAAGCAGCAAGCTGTTTCGGCCATAAAGGCCTCATCGGTACAGCTACGAGCTAAATAGGCCAAGCTACCAGCCATGGTGCAAAGGAAGCACCACAGACATTTTAAAAGATAGCTTGTCGCTCTCGCGCCAGAGTGCTCAAACTACGAAAAGTAGCGAGCAATGCGTGATGCAGCAGCACTAGAGCAGCTTTAACCCTTTACCATCCGACCAAATTTCCCCAGCAGTCCCAAATGCAATAATTATCACCTTATTCTGAGAATATCTTCGGTTCTAATCAACCAATTTTTACAATCTTGGGCATTCTGGAAAGCTCTCCATGAGCTGCGTACATTGAGCTCAAACAGGACACTACTGAGATCACATATCCAGCGCCAGGGAGCTTCAAATACACCCCATCGCTGTATATACGAGGAAATTCTCTCCTCGCCAGCCATTTCTCGCTCCTTCATCGTAAACAGTCCAAATGTTTTGCTTGAGTTTCTTTTCATGCTGCCCACGCACTCGAAGCATGCCAAACTGACTCAGCATGTCAGGAGAGGGGAAAATCCCCGCTCAAGGTCAGTCACTCGGAAAGAAATTCGACTTTTGCCGTAGCTGAAATGTCGAGCGAAATATCTTTGGAATGCGACATCGCAGCTCTTTACCGATTGATGCAATGGAAAGCTGAGCTCTTCGACTTCTTCCTAGATACTTAGTTCTTTAAATTCCGACAAGAATCGATCGAGTTACGAATGTTTTAGTGTATGCATGTCCATCGATCTCTAGAGATAGATTCAAGTACGCACGGATGGTCAAGGGTTAATACTGAATTACGAAATATAATCATCTACCCTGTATTTTACTGATCATTTGGCTATCGTTGTATCAGCCGCGCACCGACTTTTCCGGGTGAATTATAAGTACGGCTTATACTCCCGAAAACAGGGCAAGTGGCACGGACGTTTATATCTCTACCATACTCCATTTGTATGTACCAACTGTCCGGAAAATCTGAAGAGCAATATAGCATGCGTTCACACTTTGCACGACTCGCGACAAGAATGTGTTGGCACCGTCACCACTGCTAACTGTTTTATAATAGCGTGTGTGTGTGTGTGCGTGTGTGTGTGTGTGTGTGCGTGCGTGTGCATTTACAATGTGATGTGCGGCTGGTGTATCGTGCTGTCCTGTGTGTTTATTCTGAATAGGCTGAACTTTGAAAACCGGCTAGATGTGGTCCACTGCTCTGCAGGTATTGTTCTAGAATCAACGTGTCAGACATGTGCATTGCGCAATGTGTAATTTGTTGTATTCGATTGTGCAACCAATAGAGAGGTTCCGCATAACGTAATATCGCTAGTAAAAAACGTAATCGATCTACGGAAAGTCTTACGTAAACTGCATGCGCATCTGTGTTCCGCCATACGGAGTTTTCAAATCACATAGCTGCCCTTGGCAACTCCGAACGCGGCAGTGTACGACCAGATCGATCTGGGGAGAGAGTCATAAATTTGTACCCCAATCCATTTACGGACCAGCTACGTTATCAGAGCCCTATCTACGTACTCTACGTAGACAACTTTCCGTAAGTGGAGTGCAAACTCGAGAATCCACGGGTTTTTCCCGCCCACTAACGTAAAGCTTGCTCAACTTTACGTAGTGCGGAACCTCTCTAATGCAAAAATATTTTGGACACGTGAAATTCTGCACGAAGGCAAAGTCCTACAGCACATTTGCTGATGAGGCTCTTCTTACCTGACTGATGAATATCTATATGTATAATGCAAGTAAGGTGGAACAGGATTGTATTGCAACTCAGAGTTTCACGCCTGCATGTTCACATGGATATCAAGCCTGTGCCAAACTCAATGTACATCTAATTATCCTGTCCTCAACGTCTTGTGCTCTTTGGATTTGGTTTGCAGCCGAGCTGGCAGAGCGTTTCCCGGCACAGATGTTTGACGTGGTGGTCAGCAACCCACCGTACATACCCACCGGGGATATGCCGGGATTGGAAAAGGAACTGAAGTAAGTTGTTGATTTCAAGTACGGTTGCGCTCACTGAAATCCGACCCAAAGTGCGAAACTGACGCCCTGGACCAGTTCCGATTACATTATTGCACGTGTACATGTGTACGTCCAGCTGCATTCGTACCACTTCCAGGGCGTCAAGAGCCGTGCCAGTTGAGGGCGCCAAGGGCCGTGCCAGTTGAGGGCGCCAAATATATTCACTTTGGGTTGAATTTCACCGAGCACGACTGTACATGTACCGTGTAGTTAGTCAACCTGCGGGCCGCTAGCTTAAGCTACAGTTTGGTCAAATGCAGGTTCAAGCTTTGTGCCCATTGCCGCAGAACAGAGAGCCAGCAACCACGTGGATTCCGGGTACCGTTTTATCTCTAATATAAGCACAGTCTCCAATAATAGCACGTCTCCAATTGGGATGGCATTCAAAACATAAAGTGCTCAGTCTCCATTATAAGCACACTGTGTAAATTCATTAGGGAGGTTCCGGAGTACGATTTTTCGTGCCAAAATCCGTAGAGGCGCTACGGATTTTTTATACGTCGTTTTCGAGCAGTGAAATGTTCCGGAGTACGGAACTTATGTGTTTGCCGTCATTGCCTAGGTTACGATCGCAAACACGTCACATTCCCGCGCTATGCCTTTATATTTTGAAAATTTGTACCGAAATCAAAACTTCCCGCGGAAAATCCATGTTTCTCGTACCAAATTTGTACGCGAAAAATCTTTCTGCACCCGATGACGCAAAATCTCCATACGAAACATGGTTCGTGTGAAAGCCAGTCCACACGGATTCTCCGTGCCGAAAAATCGTATGGAGCACTCCTGGAAAAAATCCGTAGCGCCCACACGGATTTTGGCACGGAAAATCGTACCCCGGAACCTCTCTATTATCTGTACCGGCGAAAAAACCCTGAAATGTGTGTGTCTGACATGATTTGGCATGGCAGCATGCCTCTGAAATGAGGTTGAAATAATAATGGAACAGTCTCCAATAAAGGAACGTCTCCATTAATAGCACGGGGCGGAGGTACATTGAAAAAATAAAGGACCGTGCTTATATTAGAGATAATACGGTAGTCATGTTGCTGAACTACGGCCTTGAACGTCACTAACCAAATATCAACGGACATCCTGCTTGTTGTCGGTGTATTTCGGAACGTCCAACTTGTGGGGACGCAAATCGCTACAACCAACAGCGGCATTGAATTTCTCCAACTCCTTCTTGCCGGCCACCTCTTTCTCTGCAAGCCTTTCGGCACAACCTTGTGCTCGCTGGTCTCTTTCGGTGGCTTGTGCTCAACGAACGGGACCAGTGCATCGCCAGCATATCCATTGTCCTTTCCCCAGCTAGGTAGCTCGCCTCCAGCTTCATCCATTGAAAATCTTCATTGCTGCCACTAGCACCCGGTGTACGCGTAAAGCCATCGTTGTCTCCAGCCAAACAAAAATGTGGAGCAACCAAAGAGCAAAGAAGAACAACCAGATTCAAGCCACTGACCCGGTCCGAATCTTGTATGCCAGCAACACGTGCATGGAAAAGCGAGAACAGAACCAAGGAAGTCGTTGCATAAAAAGTGCGTTGCGTTCCCACGTGTATTCTAACACACACTACAGATTATATACTAACTACAAAGGACAACTGTGCAAAGCACACATGTTCAAACAGAGCTACAGACAGTAACTGCATAAATCTACGAGTACAAACTGCTCACAAAGCAGCGTTGAACAGGTACGAGTAAATTAATGTCAAAATGACCGGTTCTCTAATGTAGTTCATGCATCTACGTTGTCCACACCAGTCTAAAAAGAACACAGCAAAAAAATTCTGAACCAAATGTTTTCGTTCCCTTCTCACCATGGGCTCTTTCTAGTTTCAATGTGAGAGAGGGGGGTAGGGGGGGGGGGGGGGGGGTAGGGATGATAGGTGTCTCTCTGCTTAGTCTAGCTTCACTAGTACAGTCAGACCTCGCTTATCCGGTCCTCTTACATCCGGATCCCTCGCCATCCGGAAGAAAATAGCTGGTTACAGATTTATAGCATACGTAGTGCATCCAACATAACCGGTGTTCGGTAATCCGGTTCCCTCGCCTATCTGGATAATTTTTGTGGAAAACGGATGTGTGTGGTTAAGCAAGGTCTGATTGTATGTGTCATTCCACTACCGTGTGTCCATGTGTCTCTCCGTACACACGTGGTGTTTTCCGTAGCTATGAAGACCAATTTGCGCTGGATGGCGGAGAGGATGGCCTAGATGTCGTCAAAGATATCCTTGCGTGTTCGGCACATCTGCTCAAACCAGGCAGGTAAGTCAGTTCACGTCGGCCTTACTCTTGTCCTTCCATTTCTTTTCTATCTTGTTTGCGTACATGAGCACCTGACAACTATGTTTGTAGGCAAACACCAGGGGCGTACGCCGCTCGCCTCCAGGAGTGGTTCCCATGCCAACTGATGAACCACCATTACACACAATTGAAATGCTGTTTTTCGTACCCCACAGAGTTTCTGCATATTCTCCTCAGACTGGGTGAAATTGACGTCCACAAGCTGCTGGACGATGTCATTGCTACGCATTTATGGTTTTAAAAGACTGAACTTTTCCCCGTTTTATGGATGTTTTCACGGTTCAGCATGACGATTGCATGCAGTCTTGAAAGCTGCCTAAGTTTCGAATCATCTGGAGCAAACATCACACAGGGCAAGCAGAAGCCACCATTGCATGCCTGTCAAAAGACTATCCAGGGTAACTCCTCCAACAAGGATAGTTGAAAGCGGCGCTGTTTGCCATCCATCTGGATACGCACAGGAAATGAAATCCTTCGCCTGCGGTGGCGCACAATGATTGTCGATGACGGAAATCTTTTCCGTGTCCAGCAAATTTCGGGGGACTGGATTCCACTGTGGACGTCGACTTTCAGAATATCCCTTCCAACACACTCCCATGTCATTGAAGTAAGTTTTGGATGATCCAGCAGCTTCCAACAACGGTCGCTCTACAGCTTCGCCGACGATTTCTTCCTCAGCGCTGCTCGTTGCATGCATACTTCACTTGCACGTCAGGTGCGTCTGCATTCTCATCTATCGCTTGACCTTTGCCACTAGCACTGGCTACACACTTTGCCTGCAGCTCAAAATAGCTCTGAATAGAGCGCTGGCCCTCTGGATGTCGACTCTTCATTTTTCTTTTCCACAAAGCGAAAGCATCGTCAAAACACGACCAACTTTGTCAAAACAAACTCCAAAAGAAAATTTGACTCTGAGATCGAGGAATCCGGCGATGTAACTAGACTAGAGACTTTGTTGAACCCATGATGGGTTCAGGCATGGCCCAGTTCAGTAGATCTACGCTGTGTCCCATTCCCAGCACCACTTTCACACCTGGGCTAGTCACCGTCCTCGGACCGGCAGGCGGACTCCAGACATGCACTGCATGCACTTGCACTGTGAGTCTGTGAGCGCTACTATTAGTATTACTAGCGCTGGGCCAGGATCAAAAAATTCTCTGTACCCATATCGAATTTGTTTTACTGGTTCCCGGGCATCCCGGGAACCGCCCTATGTACGCCCCTGAACACAACGCAGTTCGCCTTGATGAAGGATTGGAACACAGCACCATTGTAGGAAAACAAGTTGAAACAACCCGTGATAGCGTACAAAACACAATAGCATTGTTAAGGTATAGTTGGTGGTACCAGTGCACAAAGTCATAGAACTTTCCTTCTTCTGCCATGCCATCTCTGCCTCATCACTCGTTTTTGTCAGTTTTCACCGACGCACGTTCAGGACGCTAACGCTAACTGATGGTGTTTGTAGAGACGCTGATGAGGACTGGGAGTTAGTGTATGTCAATCGGTGGTGTCATTGCCCTATTGATAGAAAAAATACTTGTACAGGTCTGTGTGCATGGTTGATGCCACAACACAAAGGAGCCTCCGGGAGCAACGGAATTTTGAGTTTGCACAAGTGGCTGGTTCCCACGACATAGTGGAGCTTTTTACGCCAGGTGTCTGGTGTCTCTGGAGTCTGACCTAAGTTGGGTTCTCCTCTGTGTTTGTTCAATGCAATGTGTGTGTCTGTCGGTCTGTCTGTCTGCCTGTCTGTCTGGATGTGTCTATATCTGCCTGTGTCTGTGTGTGTCTGTAACGTTGTGTATATCTGTCTGTGTGTGTGTGTGCCTGTGTCAGATCTCTGTGGCTAGAAGTTGATTCGCGTCAGCCGCCAGTCATTGAAGAGTACGTGGCGAGACACCCAGACTGTAACCTGGAGTGGCTGGCATCTCATACAGACTTTCAGGAAAGGTACTTTCCAAGTCTATTTGTGATTGTGTAGTCTTGTATCTACAGTGACCTTTGAGTACAATGGACTGTAATTTCACAAATTTTGGTGTGCTTTTATTTTCGGTACTTTCGATGCGTCTGTTTCATACCTAAAATTTCAATACACCGAACAAACACTAACACACATAATCCAATAGGGAACTGCTTCTCTGTACCGGAAATTTCTGTTCACCTAACCTAGCCTGTTGCCCTCATACCGAAAATATTGAGCACCGAAAATTTCTGAAATTAGAGTACCTCTGAAAGATGTTGGAACTGATACTCCATATCCAAGGTCGAGTGGCTGGGAAAGAGTAGGCAGGATCCTGAAAAAAGTCCTTTACATCCGATGCAAAGAGAGAAGTATGTTACATCCAGTGAACCTTTACTGCTTTCTGCTGAAGTGTTACTGTATGTACCCTGAGCATTGAGTCTGTTGAATGTACTGTGTAAGTTCAAATTTTCGTTCACGAAATCTTTCATTACGTACTAAATTTCGTTTCTGGTCGAGGTCTGTCACCCCGAACGTTCAGAGAAAAATTTTTTAGTTTGGTACTAACTTTAGTTATTTTGAGCCCCCTAACGAACATAGCGAAAGTTAATTTCAAACGAAGCTTTGTACTTATACGGTACACGAAGGAGTTGATCATTGCTGGTTGCTGGCTGCTGGTTGCTCTATCAGAGCTCGAGCTCTTTCACAGACCAAACTGTCTGTCCACTGCTGTCAAGTAGCCATTATTCCCGTAGCTATGCAGAAGACGTTACTTCAGTAACATCTGGTGCTAGCCAGGGTCCACACAGCTTTAATTTGGTATTTATTCCCGTAGCTATGCAGAAGACGTTACTTCAGTAACGTCTGGCGCTAGCCAGGGTCCACACAGCTTTAATTTGGTGTTTGTTTGTTTGTTTGTGTCACGCCTGGCGCTATCCCGTATATGTCCCGTACTGTACCGTACCAGCAAAGACAGCTGGCCACAATATTTTTGTTTGTTTGTGCCTTCGACATGCCTGGCGCTATCCCGTACCTGTCCCGTACCATCAAGAGTACGGTACCATCAAGAGAATGAGTATATATGCGAAGTGTATCGGGGGAGTGCATTCAGTGCAGTAACATTTTGTGTGGATTTGTGTGCGAGGCCGAGATCCCACTAGCAGGCTGGCTGGGCCGCCTGTCGACCAGCCCGGGAATCGCATGTAGGCGGATAGCATAATAATTATAACGTTTATACAGTCATGTAGATGTATAGCAGGGAGTCATATTATGTAAACGACTCCCTGCTGTATGGGGAGATTTTCTGGAAAGAAATACGAAGTAGAGAGATGAGTAAATGCAATCAGAATGGATGTTAGTTGCCGTCAGTATAATAATAATAAGAAGATAAACGCCCGTGATCGGCAAAGTCAGCGCCGGTCCCAGGAAACGTCAGGACAGACATCCCGTCGACTCCAGAACGCCCGTGATCGGCAGAGTCAGCACCGGTCCCATAGCTATGCAGAAGACGTTACTTCAGTATCTCATTGAAACGTTTTTGCAATACAATGATGTAGCTAATCAAAGGAAAAAGCATTTCCATCAGTTCTAGCAACATGCACGAGGAGCTAGGCAACAAAGCATAGCGCAGGGCCCTGAGCTTCCAAGCTCTCTCGTTTGTTTGTTTGTGTCACGCCTGGCGCTATCCCGTATCTGTCCCGTACCGTACCATCAAACACCGCCGGCCACAATATTCAAATAGGGCTTTCAAATGCAAGATCATAACGTGAAGCAACTTGGAAGAATGAATATGAATGCGAAGTGTATTGGGGAATTCATGTAGGGCGATAGCGCGGGTTCGAGTCCCAGGTTATGCCTAAAAAATAGGAGAATTGAAAACATCCCTATGCTTTTATTGCCTAGGTCATCAAGGTGGTAGATGGTGTCGTATTACCCTCGACCGTATCTGTCCCGTACCGTACCATCAAAGACGGCTGGCCACAAACAGCTGGCCACGATATTCAAATAGGGCTTTCAAATGCAAGATCATAACGTGAAGCAACTTGGAAGAATTAGTATGTATGCGAAGTGTATCGGGTGATGCATGCAGGGCGATAGTGCGGGTTCGAATCCCAGGTTATGTCTTGGAAAAAAAAATAGGAGAAATGAAAAATTTATAACATCCCTATGCATTTTTTTGCCTAGGTCATCAAGGCAAAAAAGCATAGCGTAGGGCCCTGAGCTTCCAAGCTCTCTCGTTGTGTAACTAATTACTAGCTCTGTCAGTGTGTACTGCACCCTGCTCTAAATCATTACAGTCATCGTTACTACTGTGCAGGGCTAATTGTGAAGTTGTTGCTCTGTTGAAGTGATGACGGCATTTGTTTTGTCCATTGTTCCTCGTGTGTATTCTCCCTCCAGGCCACGTTTCTGCCACCTCCGACGGCGGTGGTCGTAGTATGTCGCCTCAACAGCAGTGAGGTTATCACACAGCGGGCTGAGAGTACGCTGCTTGACTGGTTGTGGCACTCTCTGTGGCGATAACTGGCATGCGACCCATGGCCCTCTCACGTCAATGCTTTGACATCGTTCAACACGACTATGACATCATCCTGGTGAGACGTGTGCGTTTTGTTTCCCAATGCTCTCCTTGAAGCCCACGGCCTTACTTAGAACGTTCCGTCTTGTTTTGTGTGTTGCATTTTGAATACTGTATTTTCGGAAATTAGCGCCGGTCTTTTATTACCGCCTGTCTGAAATAAGTGCCACATCATTTCAGGGTTTTGTGTGGATTTTTTCAATTTTTCAATTTGGGTGAAAATTTAGGGCTCGCAAACTGCTAAGTGCCTCAGCCAGTATTGCTGAAAGTACGGTAGGTGTGCTCTAGCGGTTCTCCTATTTTCCCAAGTTCCTGGCCTCCAATGTTCTTGGAACCCCATGCTTAGTGTAACTTTCCATGTGTTTTCCATCTATCACAGATGCGCTGAATGCCATCGGAGCAGGGTGTCTGCAGAACTACAGTACAGTGCACGGGTGTCGTACTTCATCTCCATGCCCTGGCATAGGTCAGCAATGCGCTATAGTGGAGCTTCTACCATGGCCTGGCTCTATGGAGTAGCCTGGTGCCTACTCTGGTCAGCTGCCATTGCAACAAAAAAATTATGCCGACGGCGATGGATGACGCCAACAGCAGCGACAGCAACAGCAGCAGCAGCAACAGCAGTTGTAACAGCAACAGCAGCAGCAACAACAGCAGTAGCAACAGCAGTTGTAACAGCAACAGCAGCAGCAACAACAGCAGTAGCAACAGCAGTTGTAACAGCAACAGCAGCAGCAACAACAGCAGTAGCAACAGCAGTTGTAACAGCAACAGCAGCAGCAACAACAGCAGTAGCAACAGCAGTTGTAACAGCAACAGCAGCAGCAACAACAGCAGTAGCAACAGCAGTTGTAACAGCAACAGCAGCAGCAACAACAGCAGTAGCAACAGCAGTTGTAACAGCAACAGCAGCAGCAACAACAGCAGTAGCAACAGCAGTTGTAACAGCAACAGCAGCAGCAACAACAGCAGTAGCAACAGCAGTTGTAACAGCAACAGCAGCAGCAACAACAGCAGTAGCAACAGCAGTTGTAACAGCAACAGCAGCAGCAACAAGTACAGCAGCAGTTTGAACAATTGACCCATTGGACCCATTGGGCAGTGCCGAAATATGGAATGTATGAGTAATGCTTGTGACTCGTTGTGAGTACGCTGGGATCAGCAATGCACTGTTCAACACCCCGGGCGACCATGCCCAGGTGGCTGGGAAGGGTGTTTATGGTACAAATTACGTCATTGCGCAATGGGTCCATTATGAAAGAATAACAATGAATAGCAAAGCACGGTCGTGCACTGCTTAGCAAGGTGCAGTCTACAGTGGGCCCTCAGTGCAACAGAGGTGTATGCATCAACATCAGCAGTAGCTCGTATTTCAATACATTCGGACTGGTGCTGCTTGTGTAGGCCAGTAGATCGAAATGTATACGATAATCTGCCTTGATGCATAAGCACAGCCCACCACCCATTCGTCTTAGTGTATTACAAGTACACATATTTCGTATTGGACACGTATTGGACACGTATTGGACACGTATTGGACACGTATTGGACACGTATTGGACACGTATTGGACACGTATTGGACAGACACGTTTTTGCTCTATGGTTTGTACTGTATATCTAGCCAGAGTCCCTACCCCGGTGGGTTCCGTAAACGTCGGGGTGGGGATTCTTGGTGGACACTTGGTAGTATTTGCACGCGGGCTGCTACAGTACAATTGGAATGCTCTCGAGTTTGCAAGCATTTCCTCATCTCCTGCTGTACATCAAGTGCTTCACCCCATCATTAAGTCCCATCCTGCAATCGCTTGAGGTTTATGTCAGCCACTGCACACCTATCTAGAGCTCTATACTATAGTCTATACAGCCATGGACATGTACATGTGCTGACTACAGTGGCCGCTCAATTCTTGTTGCTGACTACCACTGCTTCTTGCCGATTATGACAAGAGTGGGTTTTGCGATGCACCACTCCCAACTCCTCAAACCTTGACATGTGTGCTGGCTGTTGCACACTCAGCCGATACTGCGTGTTCAGAGCAGTTGCAACTAGCTAGCATCAATAGAGTGTGCAACGGCCGAATACAGCGCTGTTCCGACAGCATTTCAAGCCGGCTGACGTAACATGTTATGATGTAATATTCCTCGCACGACTGATTTCGATGTTTTGTGCTGGGTGTCAACCAGTACGGGTTGCAATGCATCATACGCGTGTTTCCATGCACTAGTTTGTAGAGGATCAAATGGGGATTTGTCACCGGCAGGTCCAGGATACGGCTCATATACCTGTACAACGTGCATTGCACCATAAAAATGGCATCGTCAACTTGAAATGCTGTCGGACAGCACTGATATTGGAGTTCCAGAACTATTGGGGATTATGATTATTTTGGTATTGCTAGCATCCTTCAACCATGCATGCAATAGTGTGTCACAATGCTTCGGCCGGCATGCCGGATAGTGGGTCACTTCACCCATGCCGCAATGATGTGTTGCTTCAACTCTGCGATAGTGTATTGCGTTGATCATGCCATGGTGTGCTGCATTGGTCATGTGATGGAGTGTTCCACTGTATAGCAAAAGTATACAGCGGTACCTTGCATGCGCTGATTCCGACGACGTCACTAAACGGCAACTACCGCATTGACCAGGTGTTTGCTCGGTCTCAAATTGTCCCAGTCCCGGCCTATGGCCATGCACAGGTAGACGTGCACGTGTATACAGGTTACATGAAAAAAAAGAGCAAATTATCGTGTCCGTTCCCGAAGGGAACTCACGACGGTAACACCCGGTAAACCCTACAGGTTACATGACATAGAGAGATAGGGCCTGTTTACCAAGCAGACCGGCACCTCGGAAATCAGACCACTCTGCCGCAGGCCCCGTCCGACTTGAAGGCGGTCGTAATTCCAAGGTTCCAGCCTTCCAGGGCCTCCTTGGCACTGAACATGCAGTGTGCCGGGGACTGTTGGCTAGGCTTACACATATGATAACACCACAGGGGCGTAGCAGCCAATCCGGCCGGTCCGGCTTTGGCCGGACCACTTTTTCGCCCGACCACGCCCAGAATGCAGGATTTTGCACCCTAATTTCAATTTTTCCCTGGGGGAGACCCCCGACCCCTCCCCCAGGACCAACAACCTCCAACGGCGGTGCTACGCGCCTGCATCAAGAGTCCCCTGGCCCTGGGGTTATGGTCCGGATTCTTATGATAAAAATTACTGGTACAGTACTAGTCTTTTTGCCCCCCCGCCTCCCCCCCCCCTCCCCCAGGTTCAGGCGAGGCCCGAGGAGGTCTGCGTAGTGAAGAACCCTGTCCCTGGCCCTGCCAGGGCCGTCTGACTCTGAGGCAAGGAAACTCTCAAGTCTTTCATCAGTGACAGTGTTCATAGCCAACAGTGCGTGCATGCATGACCGACCGGACCTCTTCGTCTTCGAGCTCTCTTCCTACATCCAACACGCGTCGCTAGCTTCTTTCACCTGTTCACAATCACATGATCTACAAAACAAGGCTCGGTCTACGCAAAATTTTGAGACGGTCCACCTTTGTTTCCCGCGGTTGGTTTTCAATTTTCATAATTTCGGAAGGATCAACAAGCAATGTGCATGTGCGAAGTACTCGTCCGAGTAGAGTATTGTCATCGCTGTGTCTTTGAGAGAGTTTGAGCCATGAGCGAGACTGTAGAGCCCAGTTCCAAGCGATCCAAAGTAGAGACGGGTGATAAGCAATGGCGAGGCACAAAGCACAAGCGGCAGACGCCGCAGTACAAGTTCTCAAACTTTGTAAAGGTGAGGTTCATGTTGCTCACAACTTGATGAATGATGAACTGAGCTCATACGAAACTAAAGAGGATTGTTTGAGCAGAACTCGCGGTTTAGAATGTTCGGGCTTGTGTGTTTGGCGTCGTTCCCACAGGAGCAACACAAGAAGAATTTGTTTGGAGTAGCATTCAACTATCACGCAGCTGAGGGATCACCACTTTTGGTGGCAACTGTTGGAAGTAACAGAGTAAGTAATTATTATTATCTGCATTTATGTTTATTTATTGCAATGAGACGACTATTTTATGCATGTATAGTGTCTACGTGAGTAATAATAGCAAGAAGGTACAAGAGAAGAGGTAGAGAGAAAAAGGAAACCAAGGAGGATTCCAGATGGAAAAGGAAACATGTATAGCGGGGAGAGGTTAAGAATCTGATAATGTTTGAATAGTAGCAAAATCCTTTCACCGAAGAAGATAGCACGGCAACTAACTTTAATAATTAAGATAGTTCATGGTTGCCGTGCAAAAGTAGACCTCCATCTACACCATGCTAAAATCAAGCACACTCTGGAGGTCACGGTGGCTAAATCTTGCCCTTGCCTGCAGCCCGAGGGCCGTATGGCCCGAGGGCTGCAGACAAGGGCAGGATTGAGCGACCAGGAGCGACAGAGCGGGCTTGATTTGACTTCTTACATGATCTATATCTTGTGCATGTCGATTCACATAAACCTACCCAGCTGATCTGCCCGGTTTTCAAGCGTGTTTGGAAGTACATTGCACTGTATACTTCATGAGGTAAACCATCAGTGATGAGATGCAAAGAGAGAGGCACTTGCCAGATTATTTCATTTTCAATAAGGCCATCATTTTTTTACAGCTATGTTTCGCGTCAGTTCAACTTCCAGAATCGTATCATGCGAGAGGTGGAAAAAAATAAAAAGTTGCCAAAAAAATGAAGAAAGGCTGCTCATCAGAGGTGTATGTCATTGTACTATATAGCACAACAGCTCGTGCATGGTGGATCAAACTAACTTACTTTGAAAAGATGAGACTACGACATGAAAGAGATCACACTGGAGTTTGCAACAAACAGTGCTTCGTACTGCTAGTTCTGTCTTTGCTATGCTTCGTACGGCGTACTGTAGTACCGGCGCCCAGCATCTTCGCATACATCACGTGGACGAAGGCGGCTCTGTTTCACTTCCGACCAGACGGACTACGAGTATACGATCGACTAGACTGTGTACGCGCATGATGACTCGCACGATTGCACACTCATTGCACAGTCAACTTTGCGTATAACGACACTTGGCTGGGCATCAGAAAAAGTGTCCTTATTCGCGAAGTGTCGTTATACCCGAAGTCTCATTATATGTGTTACAGTTGGATGGGACTTTGCTCTGGGCATGACTGCGGATATAACGACAATTCGCGAATTGTCGTTATATCCGCAGTCGTTATTAGCGAAGTTGACTGTACATGCGAATGTTCAATTTTTTTCCCGAAAAAATCATAACGTGTGCGCGCGGACGACACGAAACATAGATAAAGAATGATGGCCTAATGTACAAATTCAATACACAGTGTTCAACCAAGGTAATACCAAACACCAAGATCATTTGCAAGTCATTCACTCAACGCTTCTACAAGAACGGTGGGTCAACTCTAATACATAATGCTAGTGCACGCGCACCTCATTACCATCCACAAATCATTTGTGGATGCAGGCAATAATGAATAATTAGTTAAAATGACGGTATCTCAGTCAAATTCATATCTGGCAATTGGTTAGGCATGACTTTGATCTCCAGTCAATCACTCGCGTCAACTGCATCTGGCCATGACGTCCATGTCATCCGGGGGGGGGGTCAGCTGAGTCAGCTCAGTCTGTTGATCAAAAAAGAGTATTAGCACTAAGATAAATAGTGAGAAAGGACATCGCAGGCTCATTTAGCTGCAGGCTTTTGAGGAGTGGCAGGGAATGTGATGGAAACCGAGGCACAGTTGGAAAATGACGGAGCGAAGTTTCCCCAACCGACAAACTGCTTCTTCTCATTGGCTACTGGCGCCAGTGGTGGTGATGATCCGGATGAGGGCAGACCTGGCAGACCTCCCATTTCCACTCCGTCACAACGGAGAGTCACAGCCACTTCGTCAGATAGCTGTCGCTATCACGGAGTGATGTGTGTAGTCCTTGGAGAGCTCACAAACTGTCGAGATCCGCTGCATCATACGTCCTAGGGTGTTCTTCCCAAGTGGTGCGTTCTGACACCACACTGGGTATCCCTCCCTTCTTGATGCTGCTGTCTGGCTTCGGGCGCTGGAACAGTTCATCTTGGAGTGGGTTAGCTTCGACAGCAACGTATCGATGGCAAACACCTGGTTGCCGTCTAGGATCCGCCCAGCATTGCCATGAGCATGCCTGTCATTTATGCCGCCCTGGTGGTTCTTGGTGGAGAAGTGCACCGTCAACTCGTAATACGCTACCCCGTTCTCGTCTGTCTTTTTCTTCGGGTCGTTCTTCGTCAGTCTTCACTGCAGCTCTCTGCCTCGAAGGCTGAGGTGGAGTGTAATAGCAAACCAAACTTGCAAGTTGAGGTTCTCTGGAGTCTTGGATCTCAAAAAGCAGCTCTTTATTACCGCCATCAGTTATGACATCCTTGTGGGCGACAGGCTTGGGGTCTCCGTCCCTTTTCATTTGTTTCAATTTGCCGTCAAGGGCCGCGTTCGCTCGGCGGAATCCGACATCATTCACGATGTCGAATCCTCGTTCTCTCATTCTTCGATGGACTGCTGCTCTTAGTCCGAGGAGGCTGTTCCGTTGGTAGGGCTGCCTATCTCCCCGCCAAGCACTGACATACAGTGATGCTAGAAATACACCAAGCTCTTGCTTGCTGCAGTTGTCCCACGAGAAATTCGGATAATTGTCTGCAGCTTACTTTTGGGTTACTTTCAGCCAGTTGTTTGTAGTGTCAGTTGAACTCTGAGGTGTTCTGGCCTTTATAATTCTGTCAATATCATCTTCGGACACAGATGGGAACCTTTTCGGAAGATGCTCCATCTTCACTCCTGCATAGGCCACCCACCCGACACACATTGCAAGTCAATAATCAGTGATCAATGGTTGATCTTTTCATAGATCAGTACATCAACCACCGAGACAGAAAAGTTTCCTCACAAAGTTTCCTTGAGGAAGAAGAGTAATTTTTCAATTCCACCAACACGAAGCAACAAATCGGGCATTAACCCTTTAGAGTGCCACTGGTCGAATCACGCTATGAAATTTGCAACAATATGATTACTAATTGTTCGATTTTCCACCACAACATCAGTTGTACTTCACCGACTTGGGCTCGCTGGAAAGCTCTTGGAGAGAGAGGAGGACAACGGTCCCAAACTCATCAAGAGGATCCATCAGTGTTCGCCGCTACAACTCCAGGAACGCCACAACAACTCTGGGTCAAATCGCGAAACACGCTCGTCGTGCCATTTCACTTTCCTTCAGTCAAAAATCCTCAATTTTTCCGGAGTTACGATCAATAGAGTATATGCGTGAGTGCCCAAGTTTCTATGGTTCAATTTCCAACCATGCACACTAATGGGTTAAACCCATGACCTCATAATATGCAGTTTTCTATTGGGAAAGGTCAAGGGTCCAAAGGTTAATGAGTGTACTGTCGAACTCAAATGGCAAGATTCAGCCATCATGACAGACAGATAGATCGTCCTTGATTTGATTTCTTACAACACGAAGGAACATATTGGGGGAAGGTCGAAAGGTAGTGGTAACATGTAAAGAGTGTGCGTATAGCAAGCAAGCGCAGGCATCCATGTATGGTGTGCAATAGATTGCAATGATTGATGAAAGTGCAGCCTGCTAGGCTGGGTGAAACACTACCCATGTAGGCTTATTCAAAGTACATTGCGGCATGTCTGGTGAATACTAGTATAGAGCGACAGAGAGCTCAGTCGAGTTACACACATACATCACACTGTTTTACCCGTCTTAGACCTCATCAGCGGAGCTCTGAGCGTTTGGCTGAACCGATCGCAATAAGGTCAAGTGAGCAACAGCGATTTTATTTTTAAGTAAATCGGCTCAAAACATTATGGTCAGAGTTTTCTAACGTGACAGACACAGCGATCAACAGTTCTAATTGCTGTGTGCCGTCATGAAATATCACGGTAGCTTGTGTCGAACCATCTTCATTGGATTTGTGGGCACCATAGCTTGTCCTGTGCATTCTCCCAATTTGCCCTTCAAGCTTGTGGGAGCACACGTCATTTTGCATTATAGACCAGGTTTCCGAAGGCAGTACGTGAAGACAACATGTATTCTCCAAAGATCCGCCGTGAAACATATTGGAATCTCCTCTCCGTGTTACCGTTAACTTCGAAAGTATGAACACATTGGTTATAGTAGTCCATGCAACCCTTGGCCCTATCTAAGCTTCATGAAACTGGAAAGAGGCACATCCTTGATGCAATCTGAGGAAACTTCACAAAGTCAGCACGAGGAGGTAGAACATTTTTCAAGAATCTTTGCTCCAAAATAAAACGTAGTCAAAAAGATTTAGCACATACCCCACAGTCACCACCAGGGTGCACAACTCCTGTGACTGGATCAGGAATTCGTGGACCACGTCATTTTGATAATATCTGGCACCCCTACAAAGTACAGACACCCCCCACTGTCAAACTATAAGAATTGGGCGCAGGGGTTGCAATTTGTTAGCCCGCATTTCAGTTTACTAGTGGGTGCGCCGGGTTTTCACGACCCCTTGCATGCCAGCTTGCACACCTATAGCATGAAGACTTTGCTTAGTTCGGTTAGCTTGCTGCCAGTGCTGGTTTGACCAGCAGTACAGGCTGCACAACTCTTAGCTCATCGATATCTGTTTGAGCCCCCGCTTAGCCACTTAGTCTTGTTTTGGAGAGTCATCTGCACCTGCTTCTTCAGCCACTGGCTGTATTTCTGGAGGCTGTCCGCAAGATGTTTTTACACACACTCAACTCATAAGGAAAAAGAAAAAAAGGAGAAAAAAGACAAAGAAAAAGAAAAGAAGAAACCCAAGATGGAGTAGCGATGCCTTCAGGCCTCTACAGGGTTGCCTTTTTCATGTCTGAGTTGCGACAGATGAAGAAGAGGACATGGCTGCCAGTTCCGCACTGGTCAGGTTGGAGTGGTCCCGTTTTCTCTTCTTTTTCTTCTCAGCTCTGGACCGCACTTGAACCCTGCAAACTGCGAACAACTGCAAACTGAGTGCCACAACTGCCACCAATGGAAGAATAAGCCTCTGGGTCATCCTAATAAAGATATTATTATACAACATGTATATTAATACTAGTGGCTGTAAAGTCAGTAGTAGCAACTGGTAGGACTGCTCAGCTTTGGTGCTGGTCAGCATGTAGCTTTGTGAAGGGATCTGTGACTAGTCCTGAGCTGGAGTCCTAGCGATACAGCTACATCCTAACCAGTAACAAAACTACATCATGATCAGCAATAGAGTTACCGTTAGTTACCGGTATGCCAATATGAAGTATGAAGTAGGACAGGGTTATTGATCTTCAATTTACAGACATACTGTAAGCCAGGAAACGTTTTCGCCTGTTTTCTTCGCGATTTGCGAGCACAGAACAATTTACACGTGGAAATGTTTGCAATTGGAGTCAATTTATTTATCGGTAGTTTTTTTACTACAGTTCTACATTTTGCGCTGGCTTTCTTTTGCGATTTCATATTCCCCGAGTATCTGCACTTACCACACTTAAGGTAGACTGTTTTAGTATCTTGTTGGTGTTGGTGCTGCGGTGATGGTGGTGAAGACAATGATGCCGAATAGTGCATGTGTGTGTGTGTGCGTGTTTGCGTTCTCGTGTGTGTTCTCGTGTGTGTTCTCGTGTGTTCTCGTGTGTGTGTGTGTGTGTGTGTGTGTGTGTGTGTTGTCGTGTATGTGCGTGTATGTGAATAGGCAACTGTGTATGAATGTGACAATGCTGGATCCCTGACACCTATCCGGGCTTATGCCGACGCCGAGGTGAGTGACACAGCATAATAGTAACATTAGCCAACAGGTAATGCCTCAAAGAAGAGTGTCCCTTTCAAAGCACTCTCGTCTCTCTCTCTCTCTCTCCCTCCCTCCCTCTCTCTCCTCTCTCTCTCTCTCTCTCTCTCTCTCTCTCTCTCTCTCTCTCTCTCTCTCTCTCTCTCTCTCTCTCTCTCTCTCTCTCTCTCTCTCTCTCTCCCTCCCTCTCCCTCCCTCTCTCTCTCTCTCTCTCTCTCTCTCTCTCTCTCTCTCTCTCTCTCTCTCTCTCTCTCTCTTGCTGTGCCTTCTCTGCTGACAGTGTCCGTAGTGGCTGCTGTTTCTCGGTTACTTCGTTGAATGTTGAGTTTGATAATGCTATGTGGATTGATCTTGCCAGCATGAGATCAATGGCTTCTGCATCTCTGATCATTGCCTCAAAAAGCAAAGGAGATATGCCAAGGTCAAGGTGCAGTATAGGAATGCACACACCACGTAGCTCAATCGCGAGGATTTGTGGTCTGATGACATTGTTGTACTGCTTGGCATTTGGCAATCTGGAGCTAGATGCCACACACCGACCATGATCTTCATTCAAAGTGGCCAGGGTTCGCTCAGGGAAGGGAGTGTCATGTGCCTGCTGCATGTCTTTCTTGGTGGCCAAACAGAACAGACAGGATCTGACACCACTGGCTCCTGACAGCCCACACAACTTCATCATGAAGTCGTAATCTCCGAAGAGGCACACTTTGATCTTCTTACCCTTCCAGGTAGATGTAGATCTGCGAAGGTTGGCATTTTGCTCGGCGTATGGCTGAAGCATCGTTGCCAAATTGGACGGCGAGTCCTTTCCAGCGAAGACGGAGAATGGAACAGTGTTGCTCAGGGAGTTGGGGTGCAAGACATTCACGAGCTGGAAGCAGAGCTTAAACGAATGACCACCATGGTCCCCTCCAATTTTCACCCACAGCTCGTATTCTGGCAGAGTCCCGTTCCACAGCAACGTGCCCGCTGTCTCTTTGAGCTCAACAAAGTGCAGCACGAGCTGCACGAGGTCCTCGAAGCGCACGACCGGGCTCATCACGACAGTGCCTGTGCTATCAAGAAAAGGAACTTCTTCAGCGGCGAGGGGGAACGGGAGCTCTTTCGATATCTGCTTCCGTATTTCGTGTTCCGACTCTAGTGGCAGACCGCACAACTTACTGTACCGGCGAAGCTTTCGCAAGCCGTTCCAAGGGAGGTGGGGGTCAGCTTTAGTGGCAAGTCCAATCCCCTTGGTCAAGCCTTCTGGGAGCAAGCCTGCCTCTCGTAGAAGATCCTCTCGCCGTGCCCTACTCTATGATTGCTCTGGGCATACTTCCCTCTCACTCCACCACATGATGTTTCCTGGATCGCACTGAGAAGGCTTTCCCTTCTCCTCAGAGTGGTAGACGAGGCATCTGCAGATGACACCCTGGCAACAGGACCTCGGTACTGGACCCTGCTGTATAACATGTTTGCGGAGATTCTTCAGCTTGCGAGAACCAATCGAGTACAGGTGCATAAAACCGCCGACACAAATGGCACGGCCTATTAAAGTATGCATACTTGAAATGCTCTATCAGCCGCTGTTTGCCCGTTCTGTTCACAAGGGAAGGACATCTACATGCACACAGAGCGCCAATCATCACCATCTCGTGTTCCTGTTTCTCAACTTTACTCAACTACTATACTCTCTGTCTCTTCCAGCTAGCACTCCAGTACATTCGTACATGCACCAAGCCACAACTGTCAACAATGAATCAAGAGAGTTTGACATATCTAACTAGTAGCAAAGTTGGGAGAAAAGAAACTGTTCTTTTTCCTTCAGATCCAAGATCCATCAGGGAAAAGGACATGTGCAAAATGGCGACCACGTCGTCCATCGACGTGTAATCATTGCACTTGGTCTGACTTATTAAAATGTGCACTTCACTTCAAAACTCTTTGCACAAATGAGCACCAGAACTAAACAAATCAACCAAGAGACGGTAGATAGATAACTACTGTATCGTCTCTTTGGGCTGACCTTCTAGTTTTCATCGCTGCTGGTGTCTCTGGGCGTATCTGCAAGTGCGATACTCTGCAAAACGTCGACAGTTTTTTTGTCTCCTCCAAGGTACGCTGCGCTTCCTTGATTTTTTCAACCAATAGTCCCGATTTTGACGATCGTGTGTGGCTGTTGAAATACTTTCTTTTATCGGCCACCCTTTCTGGCCGCAGCAATAGTCACGCAGGTGCTGCACTCCTTGTCGATGTGTGCGGACCATTGGAGCAAAGCTGGTCGCTTCAGACCACAGCCACCACCACTAATTGCACCACTTCCTTCTGTCTTCAGAACAGAAGTATTGCAATCAATGCACTTAATTTTCAAGGCACAGATGCAGCTCCTAAAACGGAATTCACAGAAGCATATTTGCGATCTGCAATGCGACGGCCGCGAAAGCGGGAAATCCCAAATCGCATCCATAATTATCGTAGCCCACGCAACTGTCGCAACTGGCCCATTGCGAAAGTTGAGCCGATGCGACATGTGATGCGATGTACGATCTGGGCCTTCTTTGAAGCAAAGTTGTACGAAAGGTTCAAGAGTTGCGTGTGGATCTGTAAAAGTTGTACCCAGCCCTGCGAATACCATGGCGATGGAGTTGCCTGCATCAAGCTTTGAGGCATATCAGCAAGTTGACGTCGCATCGTGCATTGCAGAAAGGCTTCTGTGAATCCTGCTTTTAAAGGGGCGGTCCGTAAATATGGATTTGTAACACGAAACGAAAAAGTTTCATTTATGGGTGGGTGGGTAGAGGGGAGTTTCGTTTTGAACATATTGAAAGCTGAAATATCAATCCACTCTAGCAGTCAGGTCAATGTATTTGCTATTCAGGAGGGAGGGGGGGGGGGGGGGGGGGGTCATAACAAACTTTTTTTGTTCCATGAAAATCATCGATAGTGTCAGAGGGTCCCTAAGGCCGCGTTCACACTACGTAAAAGCAACTGCCTGCAAAAGTATGTTGAAGGCGACTTGAGAAAAAAAACTGTTCACACACGATATGCGATGCGCGTCATGTGATGCACTTTTTATGTTCGCCCTGACGAGTGTGTCATAATATTTCAACTCCACATTTTCTGGCGATGTGAACACACATCAAATTTTCGTTGATCGTTCTCAATTTGCCGTGGTGATATTGCAAGGAAATCCTTCTTTGCTGACATGGATCGTCATGCCCGTGACAGACGTCGGCGGAGAGTTGCCGCAGCCCTTGCCATTCCTCCTTCTTTTTTCATATCTCTTGTAGTGATCGCGGGCCTTCGTTTTCAAATTATCCACCTTGATGTGCACACTCGCCGCCGTGAACACGACAGCCTTGATGCCGAGGTGCTGGATGTAATCATTGAGTTTGGATGCGATCTGACGCTCTGCGACAGATCGCTTCATCATAGTGCCACTTTTCGTTTGCTGGTATTTGCCCCAGAGCTCAATGAGCCGACACTCCAGATGGTCGGTGAACAGAGCCTTCGGCATTTTGAAAAATACTCTGGAACCAGTGGAAGAATAATACAGTTTTATGCTGTCGACTTCTGCTTGAAAGAAAAAGTTGCCTTGTACAGGGGTACCGGAGTTGCAGAAACCTTTCAGGTAACTTTTATACTTTCGTGCCAAATTACCTAGGTTGCCAAGGAGAATGGCCTGAAAAATGGTCTATAATGCACTTTTTCAAGTAGTGTGAATGCGGCCTAATGCAGCTCCTAAAGCGTTTTTTAATCAAAGCATGATTTGGGGGAAATGAATCAAATTTTCACCAGTTGTAGTCTTTTGGGTGCTGAGTCGAATGGTCTTGGTCCGAGGAAGCTGAGACGCTCCGTTCCTCCTTTATTCCCAATCGAACTCGCGCACTTCCTCCGAAACTGGGTGGCTGCGCCCTACTAGATGGGGATTTGTATGTAAAATGTCACTAAAAGCGCCATTTCGTTCTTGTAAAAGCATGGATGACCGCGATTGGCCCATATGTCTTTCGAACGCTGAGTCGACTGGTTTTGGTCCAAAAAGGCTGCGATGCAGCGTTCGGTCCGTATTCCCAATCGAACATGGTTGAACAAGCGGTCACGTGCTCGTGCGTGCACAAGTCACCTGGTCACCGTGCCTGCAGGGTACAACTTTCACACCAAGGTTCAACTCGAGTTCAACTCGGGTGACAGGAACGCGTCCAAACAGGCAGTAAGTTGTACCCTGCAGGCACGGTGACCAGGTGACTTGTGCACGCATGAGCACGTGACCGCTTATTCAACTGTGTTCTATTGGGAATACGAGTGACAGTCACTGGCAGGTAGCCACTACGGTGGTACAGTGAAACCT